CAGGTTACCCACACCGTGCACCCCCACGCCCGCCACCCCCAAACCCTAACGCAGGCAGGAGCGCGGGAAACAGCAGGGGCGGCTCACGGAGGGAAAGGGAGGAGGCGGGGGGGTCTCCTGGGCGCCACGAAGGAGCGGGGCGCGGGCCCCCCAAGGGCGCCACGGCGGGTGACGGGAGGGGGGCCGCGCACGGGCCCCCGAGGGCGGCTCGACGGGCGACGGGAGGGGCCGCGCGCGGGCCCCCAAGGTGCCGCGACGAGGCGACGGGAGGGGGGCGGCGCGTGGGCCCCCAAGGCCCCGCGACGAGGCGACGGGAGGGGGCGGCGCGCGGGCCCCCAAGGTGCCGCGACGAGGCGACGGGAGGGGGGGGACGCGCGGGCCCCCACCAGTCCTCTCATATCCCCCACACATCCCCGGAAACCTTATACCTGTGAGAGTACGACGGCTTTGCTATGATTTACTAGCTTGATTATGCTTTATTATGCATTATCTAGCTTAGCTTTGCTTTATTTTGCTTGCTTTTGCTAGATTTCCTAGGTTCGTTGCTTTTACTATATTTATTATAGTTATAGGCACCAAACTAGGTTGAGTGCACCGAATTCTAGGCTTTTCGGTTGCCACCGAATTGCCTTCTACCAAATTCGGGAAGGACCCGTTTGGGACGCTTCGCGACCCGCGGAACCTTCTAGTAACACCAGGGTTACTGCCTTTGTGTCGAGCCTATATATAGCCTCGCCTTGTACCCAGGTGCATTATTCAATAGTTCAATCTTTCCTGAACCAGATCCTCACAATACCCCCCATTTCTCTCAAACCTTCAGCTCCTCTCATAACCCCACTCCCTCATACCCCATTCCCCTCATACCCCCCATTCCTCTCACACCACTCACTCCTCTTCTACCCCTCACTCATCGCGTACCCCTCCTCTCATATCCCTGCCCCTTCCATACCTCCCACCTCCCTCATGCCCCTACTCCTTTAATGAGGCGCACTCCTCTCTCCCCACATCCCCCCCACTCCTCTCATAACCCCCACTCCTTTCATAAACCCCAATCTATTCATAACCGCCTCTCCTCTCATACCCCCCACACTGAAACACCCCCACTCCTCTCATACCCCCCACTCCTCTCAAGCCTCATACCCCTGCTCCTTTCATACATCCCACTTCCCTCGTGCCCTACTCCTTTGATGGGCCCCACTCTTCTCTCTCTCATACCCCCCACTCATGTCATAACACACACTTTTTTCATAATTCCCAATCAATTCATAGCCCCCTCTACTCTCATACCCCCCACGCTTGAACGCCCCCACTGTCAAAACAGTAGGCATAAAAGATAGAACAAAGAAGAGGGGTTGCTCTAGCAGGCAGTTGAGTACATATAGGAAACCCTAGTTTGGGTTGTACTCGCTGTAGAGTACCCCACTGCAGGCTAGACAAATACAACATTCTGACACACCCCCATAGCCAAAGTGGGGTGTAATCAGCACAATAAGCAGGCAGAGCAATAGTTCACAATGATAAGCAAAGCTAGAGGCTATCACAGAGGGCAAGTGAGGAGGAGGAGAAACTGTGGGGGCGACGACGGTTGAAGCTGCAGACACACGGGCAACAGGAGCGCGCACACTGTGGCTACCAGGCGCAGAGCCCCGGACTCCAGGAGTAATTGGCTCCGCGCTAAGACGAGCAGCAGGAGCAACGGACCCACGGGTGACAGGCGCAGCAGGCTCTCTGGGCTACCAGGCGCAGAGCCCCGGACTACAGGCGCTGCGGACGACAAGACGGCTGCCTCCACTCAACCTCCCCCAGCTGTCCCACACCCCTTTCACACACTCCCTGCTGTACCCCTAGCAGGCTGCACGCGGGAAAGGGGGGGGCGGGTAGGAGGCTGCGCGCGGATCCCTGGGGGCGGCCGCGGAGGTCCCCAGGGGCGGCGCGCGGGTTCAAGGAGGGGGCGCGCGGGTCGACAGGGACGGCGCGCGGGTCGACAGGGAGCCGCGCACGGGTCGACGGGAGCCGCGCGCAGGTCGACGGGGGGCCGCGCGCGGGTCGACGGGGCCGCCGCGATGGGTGACGGGGAGCCGCGCGTGGGTCCCCGGGGTGACGCGACGGTGGGAAACCGCCGCGCGCCTCGGGGCGCACGGCGGGCAGAAAACCGCCGCGCGCTCCGAGCGCGAAGCGGGCAGAAAACGCCATGCGCCCCGAGCGCATGGCGGGAAGAAAAAACGTCGCGCGCCACAAGGCGCGCGACAGACAGGACAGCAGCGGAAGCTAACGGTGGGCCCACAGGCCAGGAGCGTAACCGCTCTGATAATATGTCAAAACAGTAGGCAGAAAAGATAGAAACCCTAAATAGAGAAACCCTAATAGGAAACCCTAATTTGGGCTCTACTCGCTATAGAGTACCCCACTGCAGGCTAGACAAATACAACATTCTGACACCCACTCCTCTCGTACCTCCCATTCCTCTCAAATCCCTCACTCCTCTCATGCCCCCTCCTCTTATATCCCTGCTCCTATACCTCCCACTTCCCTCATGCCCCTACTCCTTCAATGGGCCCCACTCCTCTCTCCTCTCATACCCCCCAATCCTCTCACAACAACCACTTCTTTCATAAACCACATCATGCGCACGACCCCCACTCCTCTTGTTACAATCTTAAACAGGAATTAGCCAGGGATCGGCTCAGGATTGATCACAGGTGAATTGTTGCAGCGGAAGTGTTTGAACTCAGATCAGGGTGAATGTAAAATGACTGAGATGATAAAAGAATGCATACATCGTGTTTATATAGGAAAGGGCTGACGGGCTAAGAGCGAATGAGGTCAAGCTGACGGGCTTAGGGGGAAGTGGGCTCTAGCACACGAGTCTGAGAGCGAATGAGGTTGAGCCGACGGGCTTAGGGGGAAGTGGGCTCTAGCACACGAGTCTGAGAGCTAAAGAGGTTGAGCTGACGGGCATGAGGAGATGGGCTCGAGCACATGAGTCTGAGGACGAATGAGGTTGAGCTGACGGGCTTGAATAATTGCGGGCTCGAGCACACGAGTCTGAGAGCGAATGAGGTTGAGCTGACGGGCTTGGGGAGATGGGCTCGAGCACACGAGTCTGAGAGCGAATGAGGTTGAGTTGACGGGCTTGGGGAGATGGGCTCGAGCACACGAGTCTGAGAGCGAATGAGGTTGAGCTGACGGGCTTGGGGAGATGGGCTCGAGCACACGAGTAGGAGAGCGAATGAGGTTGAGTTGATGGGCTTGGGGAGATGGGCTTGAGCACACGAATCTAACAGCGAATGGGGTTGAGCTGACGGGCTTGGGGAGATGGGCTTGAGCACACGAGTCTGAGAGCGAATGGGGTCGAGCTGACGAGCTTGGGGAGATGGGCTCGAGCACACGAGTCTGAGAGCGAATGAGGTTGAGCTGACGGGCTTGGGGAGATGGCTCGAGCATACGAGTCTGAGAGCGAATAAGGTTGAGCTTTCGGGGTTGGGGAGATGGGCTCGAGCACACGAGTCGGAGAGCGAATGAGGTTGAGCTGACGGGCTTGGGGCGATGGGCTCGAGCACACGAGTCGGAGCGCGAATGAGGTTGAGCTGACGGGCTTGGGGAGATGGGCTCGAGCACACGAGTCTGAGAGCGAATGAGGTTGAGCTGACGAGCTTGGGGAGATGAGCTCGAGCACACAAGTCGGAGTGTGAATGAGGTTGAGCTGACGGGCTTGGCGAGATGGGCTCGAGCACACGAGTCTGAGAACGAATGAGGTTGAGCTGACGGGCTTGGGGAGATGGGCTCGAGCACACAAGTCTGAGAGCGAATGGGGTTGAGCTTACGGGCTTGGGGAGATGGGCTCGAGCATACGAGACTGAGAGCGAATAAGGTTGAGCTGATGGGCTTGGGGAGAAGGGCTCGAGCACACGTGTCGGAGAGCGAATGAGGTTGAGCTGATGGGCTTGGGGAGATGGGCTCGAGCACACGAGTCTGAGAGCGAATGAGGTTGAGCTGACGGGCTTGGGGAGATGGGCTTGATCACACGAGTCTGAGAGCGAATGAGGTTGAACTGACGGAATTGGGAAGACGGGCTCGAGCACACGAGTCAGAGAGCGAATCAGGCTGAGCTGACGGGCTTGGGGAGATGGGCTCGAGCACACGAGACTGAGAGCGAATGAGGTTGAGCTGACGGGCTTGGGAAGATAGGCTCGAGCACACGAGTCGGAGAGCGAATCAGGTTGAGCTGACGGGCTTGGGGAGATGGGCTCGAGCACACGAGTCTGAGAGCGAATGAGGTTGAGCTGACGAGCTTGGGGAGATGGGCTCAAGCACACGAGTCGGAGAGCGAATGAGGTTGAGTTGATGGGCTTGGGGAGATGGGCTCGAGCACACGAGACTGAGAGCGAATGAGGTTGAGCTGACGGGCTTAGGGGAAGTGGGCTCTAGCACACGAGTCTGAGAGCGAATGAGGTTGAGCTGACGGGCTTGGGGAGATGGGCTCGAGCACACGAGTCTGAGAGCGAATGAGGTTGAGCTGACGGGCTTGGGGAGATGGGCTCGAGCACACGAGTCTGAGAGCGAATGAGGTTGAGTTGACGGGCTTGGGGAGATGGGCTCGAGCACACGAGTCTGAGAGCGAATGAGGTTGAGTTGATGGGCTTGGGGAGATGGGCTTGGGGAGATGGGCTTGAGCACACGAGTCTGAGAGCGAATGGGGTTGAGCTGACGGGCTTGGGGAGATGGGCTCGAGCACACGAGTCTAAGAGCGAAAGAGGTTGAGCTGACGGGCTTGGGGAGATGGGCTCGAGCACACGAGTCTGAGAGCGAATGAGGTTGAGCCGACGGGCTTGGGGAGATGGGCTCGAGCACACGAGATGGTGGAGAGGGGAGTGCTGAGTTGGTGGATGGTGGGCGACAGCATGGCAGCGGGGGCGATGCAGTGGGGCCATGTGGCAGTGGGCTGGGTTGTGCTGGGGCAGGCTGTGCAGGGGGGCATGCAGCAGCATGTGTGGGTGGCGATGGGTGCAGCGAGTCAGGTGGGCCTGCCTGCCTGCCACCTCCTCCATGTGTCGCTCATCCTGCTCCCCCTGCCACGCCTGCCACCCCGCCTCCCATGCTGCTGCCTGTTCCGCCAACCGCCCAACACCCACAGCAGGCAAGCCCCCCTCTCCCTCCTCCCACATTGCCTCCTCTGCTCTTCCCCTCACAGCAGCAGCAGCAGCAGCAGCGGGCGGCCAGCAGCCCAGTGGAGCTGGGGCCGTCGTTCCCGCCGTTCCCGTCGCCCTCCTCAGTGGCCAAGCAGCGAGCAGCCGTCACGTACCGCCGCGCTGACGTCACTCTGCGCCGCGCTGACGTCACTCTGCGATGCGCTGATGTCACGCTGGGCGAGGAGGGGTGCGGCTTCAGCCTGCTGCTGCTGCCCTCGCCGCACTTCCCCCTGCGCGCTGCCTCCGTCACGCATGAGCCTGCTGACATCACTCTCCCTCACGCTGAGGTCACCATCTCAGAGCCCCTCTGTGGCAACAATGACAGCCCTCGCCCTGCCAGCCCTCGCCCTGCCAGCCCTCGCCCTACCAGCCCTCGCCCTGCCAGCCCTCGCCCTGCCAGCCCTCGCCCTGCCAGCCCTCGCCCTGCCAGCCCTCGCCCTGCCAGCCCTCGCCCTGCCAGCCCTCGCCCTGCAAGCCCTCGCCCTACCAGCCCTCGCCCTGCCAGCCCTCGACCTGCCAGCCCTCGCCTTGCCAGCCCTCGCCCTACCAGCCCTCGCCCTGCCAGCCCACGGCCAGCGCCCCCCGTGCCCTCCTCCTGCACGCTCGATTCCCTCCAACCCCCCCGAGCTGCACTTGCCCCCATCCCTGCTCTACCGCTCTCTCATGAGGGCGAGGGCAAGGGCGAGCAGGGGTGTGGGGATGTGTGGAGCATGGGGGGAGGGGAAAAAGAGAGTGAAGGGTGCAGCAGGGAAGTAATGGGCTTGGCGCTGCCTGCAGCAGTTGCTGTGGATGGGGTGGTGGAGGGGCATGGCAGCATGAGTGCACACGAGTACATGACTGGTGACAGGAGCTGCCAGGAGAACACTGATGCGGTGCGCGTGCAAGTGGATGGGATGCAGTGGGGCAGTGCATGTGCGGGAGAGGCGGTGCAGGCAGCACATGAATCAGGTGGAGATGAGACTAGCGGGGAGGGGCGAGGCAGGCAAACACACAGGGAGGAGGGATGTGGGGGGCAGCTGGGTGTGAGCAGGATAGTCGAGGAGGGTGAGGGGAGAGGCAGTGGGTTGGAGGGGTGTGCGAGTGTGATGCATGGGGTGGAGGGGCGTGTGGAGGGAGGCTCACACACGCGAAGGCAACAGGTGTGGGAGAACAGGGCGGCTGCCACATGCAATGCTGGGGTGGGGGAGAGGGACGCAGACGCAGCACACGGGTGTGAAGGAGGTGAGGGTGGTATAGAGGGGGCAGTGAGCAGTGGAGTTGAGTGTGCAGCAGCAGGGCAAGTGGGGAGAGGAGGTGTAGATGAGGTAAAGCAGGGTGACCCTGTGTGGTGCGGGCATGGCGGGGCGGGTGATGTGGCGGAGTGCGAACGCGGGAGCTTGCCAGGCGAAGGAGTTGAGGCAGCTTGTGGGGATGGTTCAGGGTCAGCAGGCGCGAGGGGGGCTGCCTGTGCTGGGCAGGGCGAGGGCGGTGAGAAGGGCGGGGCAGCTGTGATGCTGCTGGGGCCGCAGCCGCTGCCACCCCTGCCTGCCCCCGAGGCCCTTTCGCTTGAGCAGTGGGTGGGCTGCGGTGCGCATGGGTGGAAGGAAGCTCCCACAGCGGTGGTGTAGGGGCAGGCCTAGTCAGGGGAGGTTGGGACCAGGCCTGTCAAAGTTCCTGGGGCCCATACTTAGAGTCCCCAGCTCCTCCCCATCTCACCCTGTTTTGGCCGTAGCTGAGTGTTTTGGCGCCCTTTCACAAGCGCAGGCCGAAGTGAAAACTTGCGATCCGGCCTTGGGAAGACTTTACACTATCTTAGCTAAGGGGGAAATCGGCTGCTCCAAAGCTGACTTAGAGACTTTACAAACACGGGATGGCTAGAAAACGCTTAGGGAAAAATCCACTTGCCGCGCTCTCGTGCAACGTAAGGGGGGGGGGGGTTCAGGCAGAATTTTGTGGGAGGGGGGCATGGGTGGCACGGAGGAGGGTGAGAGGCACAGCAGAGGGGGCAGTTGAGATGCCGGTTTGGTGCGCCTGCAGCTGAGCTGAGCTAAGCACTGGGTTGAGAGTGTTACGAATAGTAATATTTGATATTACTGTGCACTCCTCACCGCAGCAAAGAGAAGCACGCAGTAACGAGAATGAACGCGAACCGTCAGACGGTTGATTCGAAGCGACGGACAGTTGGAACGCATCTGGACCGTCGGAAGCAGACGGCATCGGGCAGCTGCAGGCAGGATGGTTTTGGCGGGAACAGTTACGAAACTGTACGCGCCGCACGATTGGAGTGAATTTGAATAAGGGAATGTACCCCTTAGAGTACATGGCTAGATAGGTCTGTTCGCATTCCCTTGTACTCTTATTTATATGACCTTGTTTGCATGTTTTTATCATCTCAAGCATTTACATTCACTCTGCTATTGAGATCAAGGGCCCACCAACTATTTCACTGCGTGCGAACCTTCCTGGGTAGATCCTGGGCTACGATCAATTTCTGATCGCAGCATGGTATGAGAGCGGCTCAGGAATCCTTCGCACTGCCACTCCCGAAAATTGCGACATTCGGAAAGTGGCGTCCGGCACACGCTCACGAGTGAAGATGGCCGGAGGATCTGGTGGTCAAACTAATCTGACGGCTGAAGCGCAACCCAATCCGGCTGCGACAAACGAGAACACGACGACAATCAACTCCGAAGTTCTCGCACAACTTCTTCAGCGACTCACCAGCTTGGAGCAAGGGCTCCAAACATTGCGGAATGGCGATGCGGGAACATCCTCGCAACCCTCTCAACCGGCCCCGACTGGCCAGAACGCCACCCCGCAAACTTTCTCCCTCGACACCAATGGCTCAACCCCCAAGACTCCCCGTCCCAGTGAAGAGGCAATTCTCTCCGCTCAATCAAGGTTCCTCAGCATATCAAAAATAAAGACAAGTACCTGTTTTGACGGCAGAGACTTTTACACCTGGAGCTTCGAGCTGGAGCTCCTGCTTCAGAACGCCCAGATCTTCCACTATTTCGACGGGAGCTACGCGGAGCCTGCTGAGGACACCGACGACGCCAAGGCGCGATATTACAATGAGTCACTAATGGCGTACGGGGTGCTCCTGCGGAATATGTCGGCGGCGGAGCAGCTTAACATTCGTTCATACAAAACCACAGCTGCTCCAGCCCTTAACGCCTGGAGGCACCTGACGGGAGTCTACCAGCCCAAGGACTCCGTCTCTTCGAGCCGACTACTCCAGGAACTCCTGGAAACCAAGATGACCGCAGGGGAGAAAGTCAACAACTACCTCAACCGCTGTCGGAGCCTTCGCGATCAAATCGTGAAGTTGGGAAGCACGATTTCAGAGGAAATCTTCGTCAACATCGTGCTTCAGGGGCTCGGCCCAGAGTGGAGGCCCTGCAAGGTGCTTCTTCGACAGCAGGGGGTCATCTCGGAGGCCGCCCTTTGCGCCGCCCTTCTCGTCGAACAGAGGGATATGGATCAGCAGCGACCAGCGCCGCGACGAGAACGCGAACGGCTCGCCTTCTACGCCGACAACACTGAAGAGCGAAAGCCACGGCGCCTCTACTGCAAAATCTGCAGAAATTTTGGGCACTTGGCGGATCGATGTAAGAACCGATCACGCCCTCGCCAGACCAATCCGAGCACCTGGTCCGGCCGTCAAGACGCACGAGGCGACGTGCGTCCAGCCCAGGGGTATCAGCCCCCTCCCGCGCGCAACCTGAACCCCGCGGTTCAGCATCAGCAGCAGCAGCCGTCATCGACTGCCCCAGTTCGCAACGTCATGAGCAGCATGGCCATGACAGGCGAGTCGCGTCGTCGCCGCGTTCGCTCACCGTCACCTGAGCCGGCACCGCACCCGATTGGCGCGTTCACCAACAACAACCCGTTCAGCCCGCGCCACGATTTCACCGACGACGACGACCAAGACTGGAATCTTCCAGTTCCGCTGCTTGAAAGTCCCCCGCATGTATCTGATATGCGGGTGGCGCCACGTGACTGGCTCTCGCGCGAACAGTTTTTGAAGTTCGACACTCCGCACATCGTCACGCCGCGACTGGCGCTGCTCGCACGTGACGACAACAAGCGCTACAACACCTGGTACCTGGACAGCTGCTGCGGCCAGCACATGGTGGGCTCTGAGCGTTACATATCCAACGCCGTCCCCACCCCTGCCGTCACCTACGTCACCGTGGCGAACAACACACGCCTGCGCGCAAGCGCGCAAGGCATCGTCGTGCTCAAAGCACGCGGAAGCCGCACGCACATCACGCTTAACGATGTGCTGATCGTCCAGAACCTGCGCTTCAACCTTCTGTCCGCCGCACAGCTCATGGATTGCGGCGTCGACCTCAGCACGGACCGCGCGACGCGAGATATCCTGCTGCACTATGAGGCGCGCAACTTCCCCCGCCGACAGATCGGACGAGCGCACTCCGAAAATGGAGTATACGTGCTGGATTTCGACATCCCCGACTGCAGCGGCGATTCGCACGAGCTGATTGACCTCGTGCCACTGCGCTTCGAGCACATCCACCGCAGGGACTGGAAGCACCCTGACGGCAGACCGTGGGTGCCGCATCATCCTCACCCACGCGAAACGGCGTTACACAACCCCGACCCCGATGGCATACGCAGGGATTGCCACACGCCGACGACCTCAACAAGCGCGATCGCCGGCCGCGGACTCGCCGCCATCGCTGAAGCAGAGCGTACCGCGCCTCCCGAGGAAGGGATGTCGCAGCTCGAGCTTGAAGTCGCTACTCACCGCGTGTTCGGCACCGATCAAAGTCCCCACGCTGGACCTCCCTCCCAGCGGCTCGACAACATCCTGCGCGGACAACGCCGCGGAAGCCTGGACTCACGAGGAGTCCCGCGCCCCTACACTCTCGAGGAATTCATGAAGGTCTACCCTCACTGGCGTGATCCCACGGCAAAACTCACCGTGGAGCAGGAGGAAGAACTGGCGCGCCGCGAAGCTGAGGAGCTTCGCCAGCAAAGTCTCACGGAAGCCCGCGGGACCTTCGCTTGCGTCGCCTGGGGAGCCGAGGAGGAAGAAAGTGCCTCCAATGAAGGGGGGTGGGGGAACGCTGGAGGATGGGGAACCAGTGATACTGGCGGCTGGGGCGACACTGGCGGAACCTGGGCCAACGCGAGCGGAGGATGGGGCGCCGTACCTACCGCCGCAGACAGCGGCTGGGGCACTTCCCGCGAAGAACGAAGGGGGGGAGAGGACATTCGCGATGAAATCGAAGCAGCACCTGCAGTCGTTCCTCTCGGTCGTCCCCCGCGTCACATCCCGCTCGCACCACCCCCTGCAGACATTCCCCCGCGTCGCGACCCTTGGGACACCATCATCTGGGGCAACGAGCCGTCAACCCCGCGTCGCACTGTCTACGGACCTGCCCCTGAGCCACGCCAACCTACCTTAGTCCCTGGAACTATCCCTGGGACCAACATCCCACTCTCTGACATTCGCGACAGAGAGTTCTTGGCGCTGATGCTGACTACCGCGGCAGAAGAAGAAGAAGTCGAAGAAGTAGCGGCAGAACCTGCTCCTGTACCTGACGAAGACCCTGAAGAAGCGCGCGCGCGCTATATGCGCACCTCCGGCTTTCGCGCTGACGATGCCCTCTGGCATCAGCGCCTCGGACACCCTTCCCGCGCGACGCTGAAAAACTGCATCGACGCTGGCGTCTTCGCTCCTGGCGCACTCTTGCGCCCTGATGGCTCCGAAGTGAGTGGCGCGACACACCCGCGCAACTGCACCGTCTGCCCCGAAGCTGCGCTGAGCCACCAACCGTTCCCGCTGCTCGAACCTGGAACAAACCGCTACCCCAAGCTGCACAAGGTGTACAGCGATTTCCTGAACGTGGGGCATTGCGGAGTCGAGGATGAGCTATACACGCTCACCTTCATTGACGCTGGAACGCGCTATGTGTGGGTCGTGAATGTGGAGTCGCGAGACAGAGCCTACGAGGTATTTCGCCTCTGGCTGCCGCACGCGGAGCGGCAATCTGGGAAGAAGCTTAAGATTTGGCAATCCGACGGCGCGGCAGAGTTCAGGAGCAACCAGATGCAGACCTTCCTGGCACAGAAGGGGATCGAGCACCACATCTCTCTCCCCTACGCACACCAACAGCAGGGCGTAGCTGAGCGGACGAACCGCACACTAATGACGAAGGTGCGCGCGCTGATGAAGCAGTCGAAACTGCCGCCGATCTACTGGACCTACGCTATGCACCACGCCGTGCGGGTGCACAACCTGCTTTCGACCACCGCCATCACCGGCAATCTGTCCCCGCACGTCAAGTGGACCGGGACTAAGGGGGACACATCGATGCTGCGCGTATGGGGATGCATGGTGCAGTACCGCCCGCCAACGTCAACTATTGGCAAATTCGCCAGCCGCGCGCGCTGGGGAATTCACCTCGGCATCAGCCACGAACACAAGGCGTGGATCGTGCTGGACCTCCTCAGTCAGAAGACTGCCAACGCTCGCGACGTCATATTCTACGAACGTCTCTTCCTCGACCAATTCCGCCGCGACGAGCAAGCGAACGCGAATCGCGTCTATACCAACGATGGCCACAGCTACGCAACGCCTGAAGACGAAGCCGCTGCAGCAATCCTGGAGCAGGATACAAGGGGAGAATTCGCATGGGAGGATCGGCGAAGCAGCGACGACGACGACGACTCCTCTGGAGGAGGAATCGGCGGAGCAAGTGGAAGCGGAACAGGCGGAAGCGGCGGAGGCGCAGCACCACCAGCACCTGACCCTGAAAGCGACGACGACGATGTGCAGGAAGTCGTCCCGCAACATCGCCACGACAGCACCGTCTCGGGACTGCAGCTGCTCGGACTTCACGCTGCAACCTCGAAAGCGCCACGCGTCATCGAGCCCCGAAATCCGCGCGAGGCCCTCTCTGGACCACACAGCAAGGAGTGGCGCGAAGCGATGGACGCGGAAATCAAGGCACTGGAATCACGCGACACCTGGGTGCTCGTCGACCGCGCAGCAATCAAAGGCGCAAGAATTCTCTCGGGGAAGTGGGTCTTCCGCGTGAAGACCACGGCGGATGGAACGATCGAGCGCTTCAAGGCGCGCTGGGTGGTTCGCGGCTATGACCAGAGGCATGGGATCGACTTCGACCAGACATTTGCCCCAGTCAGCCGCCACACCTCCGTCCGCATCCTGCTCGCCATCGCAGCCGCAAGGCACCTGCCACTCCGTCAAATCGACGTAAAGAACGCGTTCCTGTACGCGTTAGTGGACGCCGTGATCTACGTGGAGCAGCCACACACCTACGGCGAAGGGGATTCGCGTGTGTGTCAGCTGCGCAAGTCTCTCTACGGCATCAAGCAGGCTCCGAGGCTGTGGCAGCAGTACCTGCACAACATCCTGCTTGAAATCGGGTTCAAGCAGATGCCGCATGATCCAGGGATGTACCGCCGCGACTTCCGCGGGGAATACATTCTCCTCACCGTGTACGTCGACGACCTGCTCTACATAGGCTCAAACAATGAGCTTCTGGAGCAGTTCGAGAAGGCCTTGGCGGGGCGCGTCGACATCACGTGCAACTACGAGGTGAAGCAGTTCCTGGGCCTCAACATCTCCTACGCACCTGAGGCCATTCACCTCTCAGCGGCTAAGTACGCAGAGGAGTTAGGGAAGCGATTCAACATTTCACCTGCGCCTCTCTCAACTCCCTACCGAACCCCCGGACCGAACCACAAACCTGACAACAAAGCCCTATCCCCTGCTGGGATTCAGACTTACCAGCAGCAGCTGGGATGCCTCCTCTTCGCCTCTGTCACCTGCAGGCCAGATCTCTCCTACATTGCGAGTCAGCTCGCGCAGTACTCACGCAAACCAACGGCCGAGAATCACCTAGACCTGCAGCGCGCCCTTCAATTCTTCGTTTCAACGCCCAAGATTGGGCTGTGCTACTCAACTGCACCAACTCCATCCTTCAACCTCATCGGCTACGTGGATGCCGATCACGCAGCAGACCCCGACAATCGACGGTCCAGGACCGGCTTCCTGTTCCGACTCGAGCCATCAGGACCAATCTCCTGGAATTCACAGAAGCAGGAATTGGTTGCCCTGTCATCCGCCGAAGCAGAATTTATCGCAGCAACCGCAGCAGTTCGCGAAGGTCTCTATTTGCAGGAACTCCTGCGAGAGGCGAAAATTCCGACTTCGCCGAGCTTCCGCCTTCACTGCGACAACCAGAGCGCGATTCGTATCGCGAACAAACCTGGTTTCGTCAACCGCACCAAGCACATTGCGCTGCGGTACTTCTTTGTGAAGGACGAGGTGGACAAGGGCAAGGTCAACTTGACCTACTGCCCGACGGGTGACATGGCAGCGGACTTCCTCACGAAGCGACTGCCACGCCAGCAGTATCAGCACTGCTCCGAACTCAGCGGCGTGGTCAAGCAGGTCAAGTCGAGCTACGGTCAGGAGTGAAGGGGGGTGTTACGAATAGTAATATTTGATATTACTGTGCACTCCTCACCGCAGCAAAGAGAAGCACGCAGTAACGAGAATGAACGCGAACCGTCAGACGGTTGATTCGAAGCGACGGACAGTTGGAACGCATCTGGACCGTCGGAAGCAGACGGCATCGGGCAGCTGCAGGCAGGATGGTTTTGGCGGGAACAGTTACGAAACTGTACGCGCCGCACGGTTGGAGTGAATTTGAATAAGGGAATGTACCCCTTAGAGTACATGGCTAGATAGGTCTGTTCGCATTCCCTTGTACTCTTATTTATATGACCTTGTTTGCATGTTTTTATCATCTCAAGCATTTACATTCACTCTGCTATTGAGATCAAGGGCCCACCAACTATTTCACTGCGTGCGAACCTTCCTGGGTAGATCCTGGGCTACGATCAATTTCTGATCGCAGCAGAGAGCAGCTGAGCTGGTGTGGCTAGAGGATGGTTTGGTCTGTTGATATAGGCTTCATGTGGGTGGAACCCAGGGTGGGTTGTCAGATATTGTGGCATCCACTGACTGGTATCAGTGCCACATGATGGGACATGGCAGCCCTTCACAAGTCGCAGCCATCAACAACGCGTGCACAGCCGGGGTTGAATTATTGGCAATAATCGCGTGTGTCCAATATTTTGTTTCACAAACCGTGTACTGTATGAGGTACCGGAAATACATACAGCAAATCATATTGCTGAATACATACAGCTGGTTTGAAGCCTCGTTCGAGTAACGCAGCCTCACAAAAACAGTCATCTCTGGGTTCTCCGGAAAGTAAAGCCGTATGTCAGAACTTTCATTGGTTGTTAGGTAAAACCACGTTCTGCCTGAATTATTTCGAGATTCATAGCCGTTGCCATGGCGGTCGCGGTGTCGGCTCGGATAGTCGACGACTTTCCTCCACTCGGCTCGCTGACGCTCGAGGAGCAGGTGATACTTGGCTAGAGCTCGACTATTACTGATGTCATATCCTATGTCCACACCCGCCATTTATATATCGTTCCTCAGTGTCGAATACTGCTAATGTCGCGACAATCGCCATTGTGCTCTCTCTCCGTGTCTACGAGACTCTGCGTAGCTGTATCTCCTCCGATCCTCCGACTACCAGGACTGCGTGGTTAGATAAGGGAATGACAACACGTTCAAGTAAAGCAGCCTTTTTCAGATCTGAGATCTCAATCAAAACGCCACGCCTGCACTCATTTGTAGCACGAGCTACTTACTGACAGAAAATGAGTAGCGGAATATAATCAGGCCACTCACGAAGCAGTTTTATCGAAAACGGGAAGACATATGTTCGACCGCTACCACAGCCAGCCACGTGCTAAAATAAGTGGCTGCCACTCACTTGCGGCCATATGTACGTCTGCCAGCCATATGGCGGCAGACGTCTCGAAACACTAATTTTATCATGTAAAAATATGTTCGAGCGGTTCCACAGCCAGCAGTAGTAGTGGCGGCAGCATTGGTTGCGGCAGTAGCAGAGCTGAGATGCTTCCCATTGTCTCTCTTCTCTCTGCTCAAACCCGCTATCTCACCCACGCGCGCGTCCTTCGCCCTGCTCTTCTCATTTCGCCCTGCTCCCTTGAATTCCCCTCACAGCGTGGCGTTTGCTAACTGCACTGAGGGCCTTCTCGCCTCTCTCCTATTCCCTCAGACCCCGCCGATCCCACGCGCGCACTCGTTCCATCCCCTCTGCCCTCCCATTCGTCCCCCAATCTGCCCCCATTTCTCCCCCAATCTCCCCCCATTCTTCCCCCAATCTACCCCCATTCTCCCCCATTCTCCCCCCATCCTAACCTCGTTGTTCCCCCATCCCACCCCAAAGAGACAGAAGGTCTTCCCCTTGTCTCTCTCCCCCTCTCTCAACCCAACCGTTCCCCCATTTTCCCCCCGTTGTTCCGCCCATGCCCCCCTCAGGAGACAGCAGCATGTGTGGCGGTGCTGGCGGCGCTGAGGGGCTTCCCCTCGTCGCTCGTGGCAGTGAGTCTGGCGAACGAGAGGGACATGCGGCGCGCGCGTGCCAGCATCGTCTCGGAACCGCCCAACCACGTGGACTACAATGTTCGAGTGCGTGCGTGCGTGCGTGCGTGCGTGCGTGCGTGCGTGCGTGCTCTACATGAGTTTTGAGACGCCTCAAACTTCACATGCGTGTGTGGACTCTTTTGTGCGCGCATGCGCACTCCGCATGAGAGCTTGCGTTTTTTACGTGCACGCATGTGCATGTTTCGCCAGAGAGTACGCTCTTTACTGAAGCGTTCAGCGAGTGACAGATCATCACTTTTGAGAATTCTAAAAAGTGCTCACCAGATTATCACTTTTCATCACTTTGCAGGGTGTTTTCGATATCACTTATAAACGCTGCCGATCAAGTTCGAGGCAGACTCACCATCACTCTTCTTCGCTCCCATTCGTCCCACCCCTCCCTCCTCCCCCTGGGCCCCATCTCCCACTCCTCCCCCTCTCCCCACCAGACTGACGCACAGACACTGCTTCCTTCATCTCATCACCAACGCCCTTCTCCTCCCCTTCCCCACCATTCCCTTACCCTCCCCCCTCCCCCCCCCCCGCTCCTTCCCCTTTCTCTACCAGGCGGACACACAAGCACTGCTTCCTCCCATAACGGACGCCGCCCCCCTCCGCCACTTCACAGACAGCCACAAGTTTTCATTCTCACTCTCTGCCGATCAACTTCTAGGCACATTCCCTATCAAGTCCTCTTGCTCACCCTGCTTCACAACCACTCCCTCACACCCCCCCGCCCCACCCCTCCGCCCCTGCTTCTTTCCCACACACCACCCCCCCACATCACCAGGCGGACGATCTGCTTCCTCTCATCACCCCCGCACCGCCCTCCTCCTCCACTTCACGTAGCGCCACGACGAGTCGGCACTGTCACTCACTCCCTGCCGATCAAGCTCAAGGCACTTTCCCGTTCTCTCCCTCCTTCCCCCCTCCCTTCCCGTCCGGCGGACGCACAAGAACTGCTACCGTTGATCACACACACCACCCTCCTCCGCCACTTCACGCATCGTAACAAGTCTGCAACCACTGTCACTTTCTCCCTCCTTCCTCTCTCCCTCCCCGTCAGGCGGACGCACAAGAACTGCTGCCTTTGATCGCTGACACCGCCCTCCTCCGCCACTTCACAGAGCGCCATGAGTCATCCTGCTCCCGTGCCGGCACACTCCACACGTCGCTGCCGGATCCGCCCGGCCTGCCTCTGGAGCAGCACCACACGAGCCAGTGCCTGCAGGCCCTCGCCCAGGCCGTTCGTGTGTTCCTTGATGTGAGTTCTGTAGGACTGTTTGCATGTGGGATGGATGTACACATAGTGCCACAGGCACTATGTGGGACTATTTGCGAGTGGCACTATTTGCTGTCACGTCACGGCTGTACGAGACGTGAGCTTTGGGATGGATGCACACGTAGTGCCACAGGCGCCTGCCCTGTCTTTCACTAGAGCAGCAGCACACGAGCCAGTGCCTCCAGGCCCTCGCCCAGGCCATCCGTGTGTTCCTTGATGTGAGCCCATCGTTTTTCAGTGTCAAGCCGTGTGCATGCTCTTTTGCAGCCATGCTACCATGCTGCCATGCTCCAATGCTACAATGCTGCCTTGCTGCCGTGCTGACATGCTGTCATGCTGCCATGCTGCCATGCTGCCTTGCTGCTATGCTGCCATGCTGCCGTGCTGCCATGCCGCCATGCTGCTATGCTTGTGCAGGAGAGTTGAGTCGCACTGACCGCCCTTAACTTTCGTTGCACGCATCTATGCCTTCTAAGTATGCCAAACTATGTTACCACATGCCACTGCATCCCACCACATGCTATCCCATGCTACCCTATGCCACCGCACTCCACCCCTCCCATGTGTCTACCAGAACACAGCCATGCTGCTATGCAAGATGGAGAGTCAGTGTGAGAGCCATGGCAGGAAACCGATTTTTGAGTCGGCAACCCATGCCAACCCATGCCAACCCATGCCATCGGCATGCCACCCCTCCCCTGTGCCTGGCAGAACACAGCCATGCTGTTGTGCAAGCTGGAGAGTCAGTGTGAGAGCCATGGCATGAGGCTGCTGGAGCTCAAGCGGTACATTCAGGTATGGAGTGGTGCAGATGATATACAATGATGCAGTTGGTATACATTGGTGGGTCAGATATGAAAAGGCTCTTTCAATTATGAAGTGTCACGGTCATCACATTTTTTTTCTTTTGCAAATGCTCTTTTTGTTTACTGTTCCCCAACGCATAGTGCCGTGGTGCTTATGATATCAACCCCAATGCCCCACGCAATGCTTATTTTAGTTCTGAAACCTTCCTTTGTTTTGCAAAGCAGCTGTACGTGTATCAGAGTGAGGGCGGGCAACAAGTGTGCATGTGCCGGGATCATACCACTGAGTCTCCCTCTCCTCGCACTGCTGCATGCAAACCCCTTAAAGCCCTTCTGTATGCTGCCGTGTAGTTCATAGCAGCCAGAGTGAGGGGGCAGCAAGGACGAGTGTGACTGTATGTTACCAATCTCTCACTCCATGCATTGCTGCATGGCACCCCCACCTTCCCCCCCCTCGAATACCCTTCTTCTGCCCCACAGTTTGTAGCAGACGCAGTGAGGGAGCAGCAAGTACGAGTGTGAATGGGTGTTACCAGTCTCTCACTCCATGCATTGCTACTTGGCACCCCCACCCCTCCTCCTTAAATGTCCCTCTGTTTCTGCCCCACAGCCCATAGCGGACGGGGTGAGGGTTCTCACACCCATCGTGAGAGGGGTGGAGAATTTCTGAGTTGACTTGCAAATCAATGCCTCATGACCCCAAAACTCCCCTCTGTGTTGTGCCCCACAGCCCGTAGCGGACGGAGTGAGGGTGCCCATCGTGGGTGTGACTGGGGCTTACCTGTCGCTCCTTCCCCTTTGAACTCCCTCTGTGTGCTGCCATGCCCCACAGCCCGTAGCGGACGGAGTGAGGGTGCTCACACCCATCGTGAGAGGGGTGGAGGACGAAGGATGGGGGTCCACAGAGGTTCTCGACATGCTGCATGCAGCGGTAGGCAGAGAGGGGTATGCAGCGGTATGCAACGGTATGCAATGGCATGCAGCAGTTTGCAATGATATTCTGTGGTACGCAATGATCCACCCGACCAGATGTGAGGGAGGCGGAGGGTCTTATTTGCTTTCTGCTGCACCCTACATGCGCCCCCTACCTTCACCTCCTCTCCTCATATGTTGTGTTGTGGCACCGTTCCACCCACTCTTCCCTTCCCGTCCCTCCCAGTCTACCCGACCAGATGTGAGGGAGGCGGAGGGCCTCATTCGCTTTGTGCTGCAAGCTACATGCGCTCCCTACCTTCACCTCCTCTCCTCGTAACGTGTCACCTCTGCACCTCCTTTTACCCCATTGCAACCCCCTCACCTCACATGCACCCCCTTCCATGTTCGTTGCAACCTCCTTTCCCTCGTCCCTCACGTACGCCTATCTTTAACTGCTCTTCCAATTCTAAATTCTAACTCATTTCTCTGTTTCCCAGTTCTGTAGTGTCACATCCTCTCTCTTTACATCTCCTCTCTTCATCATACGTTACTCAAATCACATGCGCATCCTTCTTCATCTCAGTATTTTTTACTTTTAGATTGCTTAAGTTAGTTGGTTTTGCTACAAAATAAGAACCATGTTCTATTTGTATCATGCCTGACCTGACTCCAACCTGACCCGACCCAGCCCGGCTCGGCCTGACCTAAGCTGACCTGTCAGTACTATCCCACCCTCTCTTACATTGAGCTCCTAACCCTGATATCACCGCAGCTGCTGTTAGTTTCATTCTTGGCCCCGCCCTCCTCCCTACGCCCACCCCTCCCCTTTCTCCCCCCCCCCCCCCCGACCCCCCTCCCCCAGATGGATGCAGGAGGGCAGGCTGGAAGAGAACATTCACGGCGATTTCTTCATTTCCGCATGCACCAAAGCTGCTACAGCCGCTACATCCGCCACACAGCTGCTTCATTTACCACCCCACCTCCCCCCCTTTCTCCCCCCTCCAGGTGGATGCAGGAGGGGCGATTGGACGACGACATTCACAGCGAGTTCTTCGTTTCTGCATGCACCACTGCTTCTGCAGATGTACACACAGCTACCACTGATGCTCATGCTGAACCCACCAATTCCACCACTCCTGCCACGGGGCAAGGGGAATGGCGGGGTGCAGAGGGTTGGGAAGGGGCGAAAGTGGAAGGGCAGCGGTTTGTAGTGCGGTGCGATGCGGTGCCGGTGCTGTTCCAGTCGGTTGCTGATGATGTGCTGGCCACGGGGCAGCTGGTGCATGCGCTCAGGGAGCATGGGTACTTGAAGCAGGTCAGTGAATGGAAGGGGTGCAGAGAGGTGGAATGCGGTGCACGCATGCGGTGCAGTGCTGTTCCAGTCAGTGGCTGGAAATGTGCTGGCCACGGGGCAGCTGGTGCATGCGCTGAGGGAGCATGGGTACTTGAAGCAGGTGGGTGGGTAGGGTAGGTTTGGTGAGGACCACGAGGTGGGGTACTAGTAGGAAATAGATGTGCCATTGGGTGTGTGTGCTGATTGTGCTGATGGGTGCCCAGGGGGCAGCTGGTGCATGCACTCTCAGGCAACATGGTTGCTTGAAGCAGGTGGGTAGGTGGGGTGAGGTGGGGTGAGGTGGGAATTAGGAGTTCGTATGTGTGTGTGTGACTCATGATGTGCTGGCCACAGGGCAGCTGGTGTATGCCCTAAGGCAGCCCTGTGGGTGTCTGAAGCAGGTGCGTGGGGGTGGGTACAATGCATGCGCGCGTATGCATGGTGGATGCAGTGCAATGAAATCGATGCATTTACCTCAATCTACTTTGAAAGTTCTCACTTTGCTTTACACGTCAAAACAATCCCCTCTGTAAAGTTTTGAGACGTCTCAAAACTTTACACCTCAAAACAATCCCCTCTGTAAAGTTTTGAGACGTCTCAAAACTTTACACCTCAAAACAATCCCCTTTGTAAAGTTTTGAGACGTCTCAAAACTTTACACCTCAAAACAATCCCCTCTGTAAAGCCTCCTCTTGGGATAGCTTTTTCTCCCTTCTCCACTTGGTCCCCGCCTCACACCGCAGCTGATTCCGTCCGAGGGAGATGCGGAGAACCCGCAGGCTAAGCTAGGCAGTTCAGACGAGTGTTTTTTTGTCGACTCAAGACTCAAAAGTCCCTCTTCCTCCCTATCCCCTCACACCGCAGCAGATACCATCAGAAGAGAAGGCTGAACAGCCACGGATGCAACTGGGCAGTCTAGAGGAGAGCGTGGGTGTGCGCACACAGGCAGTGCAGCAGACGATGCTAGATCTTACACTGAACAAGGTAGCGTGCTGCCATGTAGTTTGATGGATGCCAATGCTGCAGCAGGTAGCAGACTATTGCTGGATGAGATGCTGCTGCAAGAAATAGGGTGTGAATACTAGTGCTTGCATGCCTCCATGCCTGCATGCCTCTCTGCCTGCATACCTCCATGCCATGCCTCCATTTTTTGAGTCGACTCGTAACATGCCTCCATGCCTGCATGCCTCTCTGCCGGCACGCCGCCATGCCATGCCTCCATACCTCCATGCCTGCTTGCTCGTGCATCACCTGAAGTTTCCATGACATCACTAAGTGTACGCTTGTCTACCTCAGAGTGTGGGGGGGTGGGGATGGGTTGGCCTTCCCATCCCTTCACAACAATATCCACCACCTTTCATCTCCCCCCCTCCCGTCCCCGTCTCCCGGGCCCTCAATCCGGGTCCATTTTTCCTCCGTGCAAAGCAGAGCCACCTGCTGGGGCATCTGCTCACTATCAGACGAGTGCTGCTGCTCTCCCAGGTACACCTCGTTCTCGTTATAACTGGCAATCCATTTACTTCCTCCATTCACTCATCCGTCCCTGTCATGTCCAACCTGACTCCCCTCACCCTCACCCTCATTCTCACACTCTCGCTCACCTTCACCCTCACCCTCACCCTCACCCTCACCCTCATTCTCACTCACCCTCACTCGCACCCCCTCCCCACCATGCGGATTTCCTGTGTGACCTCATGGCGCGGGCAGGCGAGGAGCGCTGCATGCCTCCCTTGCTTCGTATGTGCCCAGGCTTGGCACGGCCTTCATCAAGTCTGTCCTGACCCTGCTTCACCCCAAAACCCCACTTCCCCCCTCACCCTCCCCCTCACCCCCTCAAGGCGGATTTCCTGTCGGACTTCATGGTGTTGGCAGGCGAGGCGAGGAGCACTGCATGTCACTCGTGCTTATCATGTGACCATGCTTATCAACGCCCCCTTTCCCCCTATCAGGCTGACTTCCTGTCGGACTTCATGGTGCTGGCAGGAGAGGAGAGTGGAGAGCAGAGTCGCTCAGTAAGGCATGTGCTTGTTGTTATGTTCCCCTCCTTGTTATATCCCTCCTGACTCCCCTTACCTTCACCCTCACCCGCACCCTGATCCTCACCCTCCGCCCCCAGGCCGACTTCCTGTCTGACTTCATGGCACTGGCAAGCGAGGAGCTCTGCAAGCCAGCGAGCAGGGCGTCTCAGGCTCGCATCGATGTGAGGGTGTAGTTTGTTTCCGGCATGCTGCATGCACCATGCACCATACCACCATACTACACCATACATCATGCACAATGCACTATGCACTATCTCCCATCCACCACGATGTGCTATACACCATACCCCATGCACCGATGTGCTATGCACCATACCCCATGCATGCACCATGCCCCATGACCCCGGACGCATCCCACGTGCACCATGGACCATACCATGCTTGTTGCACGATGCAATGCACCATGTACGTTCCACCATCATACCTCGTGACGATTCCCAAACTGTAACATGGTGTAGAGGAATTCCCATCGTCGCACTGTGTGACCCCAACGTTGATGTCGTTGTTCAAGACAAGTACTCAACTCTTTGCAACGTCCACATGTTCTTATCTCCTTCCAGCCCCATTCCTTCTTCACTCTCTTCTCCAGCTCTCACTAGGCGCCTCTCTGCCCTCCTCCACTTAAGCCATTGTCTCCATCTCACTAACTCCCACTACTTATCTCCCACATACAATGCCCATCCGCTTTGGTTGGCTCCACTTATTCGTCTCTCCTTCCTTCCCCACCCCCTCCTGCTTCTCCAGCTCCCACTCCGCACTCCTCCCCGCACTCCTCTCCACTCCTCCATGGCACCCTCTGACCCCAACTGCGATCTCAGTAACTCCTGCATGTCTCCGTACATTATCCAATCCACATTCTCCTCATCTCTTCCCACCCTCTTCCCTCTCCAGCTCTCACTGGTTGCCTCTCTCCGCTCCTCCACAGCAGCCACAGACCCTAATTGTGATCCGGCCTTTTGCACATGTGTGTGTGACCTTTCATTATCCTAACCCTATTCTCCTCATCTCCTCCCCCGCCTGTCTCCCTCTCCAGCTCTCACTGGGCGCGTCTCTCCGCTCCTCGACTGCAGCCAATGACCCCAACTGCGACCGCCTCTCTGCTCGCCTGGTGAGCACGGATGAATGAAAGTATGGTATGGATGGATGGTGTGGATGGATGGTGTGGATGGATGGTGTGGATGGATACACACATGTGCGCAGGTGAGCGTGCGAGGCATGTTTGAGTTACACCTAGGCGTCTCTCTCCGCTCCTCCACTGCTCGCCTGGTGAGCACGGATGAATGAAAGTATCGATAAATGGATGGATGCACGCACGTGCGCAGGTGAGCGTGTGAGGCGTGTGTGAGTTGCACCATGAAGGCTGTATTGTAAGTGCGTGCGGCGGATGGTTACATACGCACTTGTGCACACGTGCATGCACAGAAGAGAAGAATTTTTTAGGCACCTCAAAGATACATAGGCACTTGTGCACGTGTGCATGCACAGAAGAGAAGAAGCCCTTTCCTTTCTCATCCCCCCCCCTCCTTCCCCATCTCTCCCCCTCCTTCCGTGTTCCTCCTGTGCCACCACACACACATCTCCCTCGCATCTCCCATATCTGTCTTGGGCACCTTACATGCCTTTTGATTGGCCTCGAATTTCATCCCTTCCCCTGCGATTTGAGAACCGTTCATGCTATTGAACTCCATTCATCATCAAGACACCGTTGCCCTCCCATCAATGCACGTCACCTCACGTACCGATTCTCACTCACCCTTCATTCATGTCCCCTAATATCTCCCCATCTTGCCCCATTTAGGTCCCTGTTGATCCACCCAGTCCCTCCACCTCATCGCTTCAACAGCAGCCCCTACGGTCACAACCTCTACAATCACAATCGCCGCACCTACAGCGCACACCAGCACAGCCGCCACAGTCGCGTCTGCGGCAGTCGCGGGAGAGCATGGACGGTGCAGATCTACTGAGCAGCCTGCAGGCCTACGAGCAATACGAGCACCTGCTGGGAGATGATGCAGATGATGATTCTTTTGCTTCTCATGCTGCTGCTGCTGCTGCTGCTGGTAGTGGTGATGGCAGTGGTGGTGGCGGTGGTGGTGGTGGCAGTGGTGCGGATGGGGATGGCAGACAAATCTACAGCAACCCCCTATCGCTGCTACCCCAGGTCACCCCTGTTCGGCCAGTCAGCCCTGCAGCTGCAGTGGCGGCGCAGGCAGCAAGGAGGGGAGGGGCCGAACGCAGGGGAGCTTCAGGGGAGAGCGGATGGGAGGCTATCTATATCGACTACCAGGTGGGTCCTTTTTTCTTGCCTTCTCCTTTTGTTTTAGTTGACTCGAGAATTGCCCCATCGGACGCGGATGGGAGGCTATCTATATCGAATACCATGTGGGTCCTTTTTTCTTGCCTTCTCCTAATTTTTAGTCGATTCGAGAATTGCCCCATCGGACGCGGATGGGAGGCCGTTTATGTCGACCACCAGGTGGGCTCGGTTCGGCATTCGGCGTTCGGCTTGGCTCTAGCCGCTACCACATGCAACAAGCCGATCCGTTTTATTCTAATCAGAGCTACAGTTCTCCAGACCACCTACCAGATGCCCCACCTCCCTTCTCGCATCGCATACAACTGAAACTTCTGCTTCCTGCTCTCTTCTCTACCCTCCCCTCCCCTTCCCTTCCCTTCCCTCCCCCGGCCATCCACAGTGGTACCACCATCCGCCCTACAGGGTTACAACTGCCTCTTCCACTTCCTGCTCGCCTCACACCTTTTCGACTGTCCTCACCCCACCTGCTACCCACCCCTCCTCTACCATTCTTCCTCCCCACTCACTACAGGCGCCCTGGCCAGTATTTGCTGTGGTACCACCATCCGCCCTTCAAGGCTACAACCGTCTCTTCCGCTTCCTGCTCTATTCACTATTCTTCAACTGTCCTCACCCCAACTGGTAACCACCTTCCACCACCATTCTTCCTTCCCCACTCCCTGCAGGCCCCCTGGCCAGTATCCCCGGTGGTGCCCCCATCCGCCCTGCAGGGTTACAACCGTCTCTTCCGCTTCCTGCTCGCCCCATCCCAGCATCCCATCCCCCTGTCCTTCCTTAACCCACCTGTTACTCCCCTTTACTGCAGGCCCCTTGGCCAGTATCCGCGGTGGTACCACCATCCGCCCTGCAGGGTTACAACCGCATCTCCCGCTTCCTGCTCGCCTCACTCCCATCTATAACCCACCTGTTTCTCACGTCTTCTTCCGTCCCCATTCTTTACAGGCGCCGTGGCCTGTATCTGCTGTGGTACCCCCATCCGCCCTGCAGGCCTACAATCGCCTCTTCCGCTTCCTGCTCGCAGCCCGGCGCACCCACCTGCACCTGGCCCTCGCATGGTCTGCGCTGCAGGTAGGGCCATTCAAAGCATACACATCAAAGCATACACATCAATACACTCGCTGCGCTTATCCCTGCTGGCCTTCAGTCGTCTCTTCCGCTTCCTGCTCGCTGCCAGGCGCACCCACTTGCACCTCGCGCTCGCCTGGTCTGCCCTGCAGGTAGACCCCTCTGCCTTGCTTGATGATGATTCTGGTGATACGTGCATGCAGTGCATGCTTCTTCCAGTGGTGGAGTGTTTAGAATAAAGTGGCAGAGTCACACATGCAGGATTAGAATGCCTCGCATCGCATTGTCATCTGTGTTGAAATCACTCTTGAGAATTTTTGAGTCGTCTCAAATCACTTTTGAGAATTCTCAAAAGTGATCTTTGCATGCTTCTTCCAGTGGTGGAGTGCTTAAAATAAAGTGGCAGAGTCACACATGCAGGATTAGAACGCCTCGCATTGTCATTCGCGTCAGCTGCACTGAAAGCACGCTTCTCTGCTGCTGCTGGCGCTACCACCGCCACTGCTGCGAGTGACGATGCTTAAGTCCCTGAATGCCCACTTACCATTTATTATGTATTTCCGTTATTGATTTTATCTGTACTGTACTTGTTACTGCCGCCTTCGTCACCTCCCTCACCCACACCTGTCCTTTTCTTGTTCTCCTTCCCATCTGGGTGGGTGTGTTCTGTAGCGCTTGCATTCTTGAGTCGACTCACAAGGCCCTTTGCTTTTCTCCCTCACACACACTCACAGCTGCCGCGGTGACTGAAGGTGGTGGGGACATTGATGGAACGGGTGCACTCGTGAGCCAACTCAAGAAAATCACCCTTTCTCCTTTCCTCCGGGCCCCACACACACTCGCAGCTGACGCGGGGATTGAAGGTGGAGGGGACAATGCTGCAGCGCGTGCACTGGCTGCGGCATCGCATGGCGTGCGCTGTCACTGCCATCCTCGACCATGTTGCATATGCGGTGAGTGTGCATATTTACGTGGGTGCATGGGTGTATGGAATGGAAGTATAGGTGTATAGGTGCTTCCATGCACTGGCTGCGGCATCGCATGGCGTGTGCTGTCACTGCCATCCTCGACCATGTAGCACATGAGGTGTGTGCGCATGGGTACATGGGTGCATGGGTGCATGTATTCAAGGGTTACATGTATGCATGGGTGCATGGGTGCAGGCATCGCATGGCGTGTGCTGTCACTTCCATCCTCGACCATGTTGCATATGCGGTGAGTGTGCATATTTACGTGGGTGCATGGGTGTATGGAATGGAAGTATAGGTGTATAGGTGCATCCATGCACTGGCTGCGGCATTGCATGGCGTGCGCTGTCACTGCCATCCTCGACCATGTGGCGTATGCGGTGAGTATGCATGGGTGCACGGGTGCAGGGGTGTACGGGTGCATGGGTGCACGGGTGCTGGGTGCATGGGTGCATGGGTGCATGGGTGCATGTGTGCGCGCGTGCGCGTGCATCCACGCGATTCTGTGGTAGACACATGGCATTTGCCGTGTCTCGTCGGTTCCTCTATCTTTTTGGATTGATTATTAATTGCACTCTCTAGAACCACTATCTCAAGACCCACTTTCTTCCTGCACCCATATAGTGTTCCTCCATATAGTAATATAATTCCACTCCTTGTCTCTCTCCTATGTGCCCCTTCCCTTTCCCCCCTTAACCTTTTCCCTTTCCCCTATTTCCAATGGCTCCCGTGCTTACACCCTCTTCCTTGGAACCTCCTCCCCTCCCAGCACTCTCAAGTGATCAACACTATTCTCAAATCCATGACGTCATCCTTCTTTCCCTCCCCTCCCTCCCATCCCCTCCCCTCCAATCCCCTCCCATCCCCTCCCCTCCAATCCCCTCCCCTCCCCTCCCCTCCCCTCCCCTCCCCTCCCCTCCCCTCCCCTCCCCTCCCCTCCCCTCCCCTCCCGTTCCTTCCCTTCACTTCCCCCTCTCACCCCACTCCTCCCCTCCCACTTGCCTCCGCACCCCTCCATTCCCCTCTCCTCTCCTCCACTCACAATGCCTGCAGGTGATAAGTCCCAATTTCGACCTCATGACATCCAGATTGACCAAGGCTACCTCCTTCCACCAGGTGACTCCCTCTCTTCCGCCCACCTATCCTCCCCTCCATGGCTTCATGAGCACAAGAGAGCACATGAGCACAAGAGAGCACATGAGCACAAGAGAGCACATGAGCACAAGAGAGCACATGAGCACAAGAGAGCACATGAGCACAAGAGAGCACATGAGCACAAGAGAGCACATGCGCATACGCGCACATGAGCACAAAGAGAGCACATTCTCATCTCCCTCCTCCATCACTTCATCTTCGTGGTTTGACCACTCTGCCTGTGCCACCCTGGTGCGATTCGTAAGATGTAGGGCACCAATTGGTTCCAATTCTTTCTCCGCTTCACCAATCATACTGACAAGTAGCCAATCTGAGTGTGCGCTATTCTCCTGCCATGCGTGTCAATACAGCTGTATATAGCTTCTTTTCTCCTGGAATAACTAGCGAATTACACTTTCTTTTGTATTCTCCTGTCTGCCTGCTTGCAGCTTGTGCAGGAGCACCAATCATTTCTTGACACGTGTCTTTCGGAGGGGCTATTGGATTCCTGCCCGCATATTCGAGAGGTGTGTAGCGCCTGCCTGCCTGCCTGCCTGCCTGCCCGCCTAGCATCACCTTGAGCACGCCCTGCTCAAGCAATATACGCTTGAGCTGCACACGATGCAGGCTGCACGGCAGCATGGCAGCATGGCCTGCTTGGTGCATGCTTGTGGCTTTTTAGGCCTGTAAAGAAGTCGCCTCAGTAGGCACATGACCTGGTACTGCATGTTGCGGCGCTAGAAATTATGAGGAGGCATTGCAAATGGTTCTTTCAGTGTTTGTTGTGTTTCCATCTGTTATGTCAGCTCCCTTTTTCATCAATACTCTATTGTGTGTTTCCGTCTTATACATCTTCTATTTGCCCTTCTACACATCCTCCTGATCCTTCTTGAAAATGCGTCTGCCCATTATTCAATACATATCTTCCTGCTCTGGTGCCTTCATTGTTTCATTGTTTGCTGCTTATGCTGTATTTGACCGAACTTTTTATAAATAGCCATTATTGCCAATAAAAAGAAGTTAATTTAACTAAACGGTATTTGCCCACTCAAGTGCGAAATTTCTTGCCCCACTCACTTCTGCACCTCTCGCTCTGTTGCACCCCACCTCACTGCAGAAGCTATCCTCCCTCCTCTCCATCTCGCTTCGCTTTGCCACCTCAGTCAGCACCACCATACATACAGCCTCCTCTCTCCCGGGCCTCGATTCGTCTTCATCAGCAGCAGGAGGAGGAGGATGGGGAGGAGGAGGAGGAAGGGGAGGTTATGGGGTGGAGGGTAGAACCAGTGGAGGCGAGCTGGCTGACTATGCCTATGGTGATGCCACGTCAGATGCCAAGGGACGGGCGGCGCGGGCGGCATTCCGTCGGCAGTTAGCGGCGGAGGAGCTACAGCGGGGCTTGGAGGAGGAGGGATTTGTTGAAGAGATGAGGTGTGTGTGGGGAAAGGGGCTTGGGAGAGAAGGGGAAGGGGTGTAAGGAGGGGGAATTGAAAATAAAGGAAATTGGGAAGGGGTTTGAAGGAGACATTGACTTTGCAATTAACGTATCCCCGCTTCTCTCCATCTTGTCTCCTGCTCTTACCATCCCCCCATCTCCCTGCTCTCCCCATTTCACCCTCTCCCCATCTCATTCACTCCCCATCCCACCATCCCACCAGATCCACGCACACGGCCTTTGCGGCCTCTCTCCGGGCCGCCACTGCTGCCATCGCATCTGCTCTCCGAGACCATCCTGTGCTGCTCTCCCTGCACCTCGCCCTCACCGCTGTTGCTAAAGGCCTTCCTTAGAACTTCTTTTGAGTCAGACTCAAACGAGTGCAACTGCTGCCATAGCATATGTTCCCAAGACCATCCTCTGCTGCTCTCCCTGCACTTCCCTTCTCCGCTGTTGCCAAAGGCCTTCCTTGGAAGTTCCCCTTTTTGTCGTTGGCAGCTGTGAAGCACGTGGGGATGTGACATGACACCATGACTAACCCAAAGGATGGTTTTGCCGCATGCGAGTATTGTGCTTGAATACCGGTAGTAGCAATATGCCTTGGTTATTAATGTGTAAACAACCAATCCTGTATGTCTTCTTATATGTATCAATGGACTCTGAGACCCCATTAAGCATCAGAATTGAGAAAGCTTGCTTTCTTGTCCTTATAATTTGGCATCTGTCTCATTGCAACTGGCTTATTACAACATATGCAACGTTCTTAAACACATGCTAGTACATACAAATATTACTAGCTATAGAGTCGTCCGTCCAAGCAGCAGTGGTCTTGTAGTTGGTCCGGGGTGGGTGGTGGGGATGTTGATTGAGCCGTTGAAAAACGAGAAACGTGGGTGGAGGGAATGAACTCCAACCAGCGGTTTTTGTAGTTGGAGAAGGGCGTTTAGCGCGCTTCGACGCTGCCAAATATTCGGTACAGGCAGCTTCGCTTTCACAATACACAATTTTGAAAACATCAATGTGTTTAAAAATTATAATACTTCACAACCGCTTTGCTCAGAATGGTAAGCCTATTTCTTACCATGCTTTTGTTAAGCTTATTCATCGGTCCTCGTCCAGAACGCGTGCTTTTCATAATGAGTATATTTCGATGCGTTCAATTCAGCCGCCGCATCTGACGGAAACCGCGATCAAAAAATTCTTCGTGACGGGTTTCGCTTACTGGACAGGGCGAAAAAATGTAGATTAGGCTGCGCGAGCAATCGCTCGTTTCGTTTTTCTTCGCGAATTTCGCAACCCCCAAGATTCTTGGTGGCCCGACTCACCTAATAGACTAGTGACCCCAAGCAGTCGGGGCATCTTCACGCCTGCGGTCATCGCACACCAACGAAATCCTGCTGCGAGCATCCTGAGACTTAGTAAACTGAGCTGAAACACAGCGCTTAGCCGAAACTCCGTTTTTTTACTTTATGTCGACGATAACAGCGCGTTGGATATTGTCGATGCCCCCCCTGCTCGCCATTTCCACAGACTTTCCAGGGGAAGCGACCCGCTTCACTCGTTTTTCTGCCTTGACACGACTCTGTTTTCGGACTTGCCCTTGTTGCGGGGGTGTTATGTCGGCTTGGGACTGTTGGGTACAATCTCCTCCCACGGAAGCGCGCGAAAATTGCATGCGAGTAACCTGGGATGAAAGGGCCGCTGAAAACGAATATTGCTTGACTTGTAACTGATTGACCCTCACAAGGCCCTCGCGATCGCGTTTCTAGCTCAGATCTCCATAGCCGACCGCGGAACCTACTCGTTCATTCGTCCTAGGAGAAGGAATCGCGATCCACAACCAATGGCATTCCCCAAGCCCTGGTGCAAACGCCTCTCCGATTCGGCCCCAGTTTATCCGCCATGCACTGCCCTCGCCCTCAATCGGATTCGTATTAAACCGCCCTCTTCGTCGCTGGTAAAGCACGACTTCAATCCTCCGCTCTCCAAGGTCAAATTCCACTAGATAACTACAGCCACCACGACTGCTACTCGTAGCACCTCTTTTCCTGATAATGGCGCGTCTCAGTGGAATTACGGCCCTCTATCTCCTGCTAGCCGTTGCCCTCGTTCTCTCAACATATGCCTCGACCGCGGTTGCAGTGGATAGCAAGACTAGCGACGGTGAGTCCCCCCCTCCACCCTCCCCTCATTATAAATTCGCTTTCTGTTCTCTTTGTCTTTCCCCTCATCATATCATGCCCTCCTGGTCTCTTTGTCTTGACGGCGCTCGTCGTTCGTTGCTTCTGAATCCCCGACTTCTGTCATCTTTTCGAGTGGCGCGCAGGAAAATATTACTGCGCTGAAGTGAATGGTTGGAGTGCGGATTATTGCGATAAAGCTTGGGCTGCGATTGGGAGGTGCGCCACGATGCGTAATAACTACAAGAAAGAGTGCGAACCAAGTAAGTTCCCACGGGTGAAGACATGGTCTTGCCACACGGCTTGCATCAGATCATATCAAACTGAATCATCAGATTCTGTTAATTATCATGGCTATCACGTTTGGATTCAAACCTTATGAATTCCCGTTTTTCGCCCTCATCACATTCTTCTTACGGCCATCCTATCGCATCACAAACAGTGTTTACTAACCCACTCCATTTCGTCACATCCTAAATGCCATTTCGTCACATCCTAAATGCCATTTCGTCACATCCTAAATGCCAATTCGTCACATCCTAAATGCCAATTCGTCACATCCTAAATGCCATTTCGTCACATCCTAAATGCCATTTCGTCACATCCTAAATGCCATTTCGTCACATCCTAAATGCCATTTCGTCACATCCTAAATGCCATTTCGTCACATCCTAAATGCCATTTCGTCACATCCTAAATGCCATTTCGTCACATCCTAAATGCCATTTCGTCACATCCTAAATGCCATTTCGTCACATCCTGCATGACCCCCACTATGTCATGTTGCAATACTAAGGCAATGTTTGTTCCCTTCCCAGTGGGCAGTGCATTCCTTGGCCTCTGGAGGTGTATCTATTGGGGGAGGTGTTGATCCCCACACCACTTCGATTGTGACTCTTCCGTTGCGTGTGGTAGTTCGTGCAAGTATGTGGGTGGCGACTCGTGTGAGCGGTTGACATAAAAATTATTGTATTCATCATCCTTTGCTTACATTGCAGTTGTAGTGCTCCTTGTATACTATTGTTGCATGATTATGACATGAGATTATTGTGAATACATAGGCACCTCATGCGTGGAACAAGTATCACCTCATGCACTCCGCCTTCACACATGTGCCTGAGCACACGGCCACATGGGCACATGGGCACATGGGCTCGTGCCCACACGATCGCCAAATAGTTTCGCCTCACCATCCTCATTCCCCTCATCATCCTCATTCCCCTCGTCATCCTCATTCCCCTCGTCATCCTCATTCCCCTCATCGTCCTCATTCCCTTCATTATCCTCATTCCCCTCATCATCCTCATTCCCCTCATCATCCCCATTCTCATCATCATCCTCATTCCTCTCATCGTCTTCATTCACCTCATCATCCTCATTCCCCTCATCATCTTCATTCCCCTCATCATCTTCATTCCCCTAATCATCCCCAATCCCCCCATCATCCCCATTCCCCTCATCATCTTCATTCCCCTAATCATCCCCATTCCCCTAAACATCCCCATTCCCCTAATCATCCCCATTCCTCATCCTCATTCCCTTCATCATCCCCATTCGCCTCATCAGACTCAGCAGCAAGAGGAGGGAGAAACGGAGGAGGGGAAGAAGAGATGGATGGGTGGGGAGGAAGGGGAGGAGGAGGGGGATGGGTTGGTGGGGGTATGCAGTGGAGGGTAGAAACAGTCTAAACGGGATCTCCGATTTTGCATATGGTGATGCCAATTCAGATGCCAAGAATCAGATTGATTGGGCGGCATTCCGTCGACAGTTAGTGGTGGAGGTGCTACACCGGGCTTTGGAGAAGGAAGGGTTTGTTAGTGAGATGAGGTGTTTGTGGGGTGTGAGAGGGGGAGGGAGGGAAGCGTGGAGCTGGCAGGGGATGGGGGGAAGGGGAAGGGGGAAAGGAGGCGTAGTTAATGAGGGGTTTGATAGATATGAGGTCTGTGTGAGGGTCATGTGGTTACTGAAGGTGGACAGGGGTTGATTTGGGTGGGTGCATGAGGGGGCTTTTATGGGGAATCACATGGTGATGAGGGTAGTTAGAGGGAAAGGGTGGGTGAAAGATGTGAGACGGTTTAAGGCGATTGGTGAGAGATGATGGTGATAGTTTCTACAGATTTTTCTCACACATAATTTAACCAAAGATTTGTCTACCAACTTCTCCCCTCTGTTCTGCCTCTAGTCTCTATCCCTCCCTGCTCTCACGATCTCAACACATCACCTTCTCTCCACATTACCTCCCCATCACCTCAGATTCTTCCCATCTGACCGCCTCGCCACATCACCATCTCCCCTTTTCGCCATCTCACCTTCTCCCCATCCCACCCTCTCCCCATCTCCCTAGTGTACCATCCTGCCATCCCGCCATCCGAAGTGACTTCTGAGTTTACTCAAAAGTCTTCTCCCCATCCCACCCTCTCCCCATTCCCCCATCTCCCTAGTGTACCATCCTGCCATCCCGCCATCCCACGAGCGCCATGCACACTGCCTTCGCTTCCTCTCTCTGTGCCGCCACTGCTGCCATCGCATCTGCCCTCCGAGACCATCCTGTCCTGCTCTCACTGCATCTCGCCCTCACCGCTGTTGACTCAAAAGAGTGTCACTGCTGCCATCGCATCTGCCTTCCGAGACCATCCTCTGCTGCTCTCCCTGCACCTTGCCCTCTCTGCCATTGCTAAAGGTCTTCTGTCAAAGTTTCCCATTTTGCCATTATGGTGGTGCAGCTGGCCAGTGTGAAATGTGTCAGAAAGTCCCAGTTCGTCCAACTCAGAGAAATGGTTTTCTTCATGGGATTATGTACCGGTACTTTAATACTTGCAATACACTTGTTAGTCAATAGATAAACTGCCTCACGATTTTTTATTTGTATAAATCCTATATTTTCATGTGTGTCTCTTCATAAAGAGTTTCGTACCATATCTCGGTGAAGGAATCTGTTAATCTGTGTCACAGATTTCAGACCATCCCTGCACCAGGGTCTCATGAATGGTAATCTTGTCCTGAATGGTAATCTTGTCCAGAATGGTAATCTTGTCCTGAATCATTTGTTTTACATGTATTTTGGAATCTGAATCAGGAAGCTGTGCCGCTCCTATAAGGGGGTGTCCAGCGCGTACGTTTACAGGTCCTATACAGTTCATTTGTCGTGGTTTGAAAAGATATCAGGCGGTGCACAACGGTTTAAAAATTGCACCGTTTTGAACCGTGACGCATGACAGATTACCGCACTCGATGAACTGTACTGTACGGAAAATGTACGCGCTGGACACCCCCTAAGCAGCTCGCCGTGCATTCTGTATAATGGGTCAGCGGTCGCCGCATCTCACGGGGAACGCGATTTTCAATGTGACGCGGTCAGCTCTGGGACGTATTCAGGATTCAGCAGAACCAACCGTACTCGTAACCTGGTTCATTTTCGCGAACTTCGCAACCTTCACATTTCAGTCTGACAGAAGTTATCGAGCCACGTGGATCGACTTTATTACCGTACATTGGGTCAACGCAACCCAGCGGTTTCTTTCTCCAGCATCTTCAGAATGTCTGGGCGAAACATTAACCAGAAATATACGGGGATAGCGCTATGCTAGGGCCGGCTTTACAAAATACTTACCTGAAATTGCATTGAGATCGAGCATAAGAGAGCGGATGAGACCCACGGGACTGCTGCTCCAACCCCTAAACATGCTGTTTCGATCGTTTTCTGCTTCGGCCTTTGCTCTCATTCTCGTCCTTGCCCTTCTCGCGGGTAGTGCAGTGCCCATTTTTTCAGGGTGAAACATCCCGGCGTATTATTCAAATCCAGGTGGATTTTTCGGCCCGCTCTGCAAAAACGAGCTTCCGCGATTGTGACTCGGCCGACTTCAGGGTTCGAGTGATTTTCAGGCTGCAGTGGCCCGACGGGTGAATTCTCCACTCGGCCCTTAGCCCAGCGCTCGTCACTTTTCTCGCGTTAACAGATATGGCACCCTTCTGTGTCTCTCTTGTACTTAGCCAAACATGCGAACTTTCTGACTCGAATGGCGAAGTACTTGACTGCCAGTCACGATGATGGATAGCATGAAATTTGCGAGTCCTCATCCCGGATTTTTTGGCGCGCCACTCGGCCCAGCCGAGGGGAGCGCGGATTTCACTCTTTTTTGGAAGAGTGCCTTGAAACGAAAAATGAGCCCTAGTGGACTGGTCTCTTGCTGGAGCATGAAACCCTCGCCGGAAGCGCGCTAAACTTGGCGAAGATTGCTTGCGAGTTACCTGCACAGGTGCGGCTGCTGGTTTGGGAACGTGAACGCGAACCCTGATTGATTTCGAACTGATTGACCTCACAAGGCCCTCAATCTCGCTTCTGCCACAAAGCTCCATACAGACCGCGGAAACTATCATTGGTCCTACTCTTAGTCATCGCGAAAAGTTACTTGTTTATTCGTCTTACTCCTAGTCATCGCGATCCACGACCAATGGCATTCTCTCAAACCGTGGCACAAACGCTTCGGCCCCAGTTTATCCGCCATGCACCGCGAAATCTACTTTTTCATTGGTCCTACGATGCCTATCGCGATCCACAACCAACCAGATTCCCTAAAGCCGTGGCGCAAACGTCCCTCCGATTCGGCCCCGGTTATCTGCCATCTACTATCCTCGCCCTTCAGTTTTGTATTTAACAGTCCTCTTCGTCGATGGTAAAGCACGCCTTCTATCTTCGGCTATCCAAGTCTAGTTCAGCGAAATCACTAGAGCTACTACAACGACTACTACTACCTCTTTTCCTCTTTAGAATGGCGCGTCTAAGCGGAATCAAGGCTCTCTCTCTGCTGCTAGCCGTTTCCCTCGTTCTCTCAACGTATGCTTCGAAAGCGGTTGCCCAGCAGGTGGAGCGAACTTCGGATGGTAAGTTTCCCCCTCCTCCTTTTCCCTCATCTAGTGATGTATCCTGAATTCTTCCGCATCACGGCGTTCGCTATGCCTGCCAATCAGTCACAGCTGGGGGATTTCGTTTATCTGCTAGGGTTTGAGTTGTTGCTGCTGACTCAAAACTATCCCGAATCCCCGAATTCTGTTGTCCATTTGAGTGGCCCGCAGGTAAATATTCGTGTGCTGATGTGAGGAAGGGCCAAGATACGTTTCTATCCCAGTATTGCAAGACCCACTTCTCCTTTTGCGACCCCCCGACGTACAATTACTATGACAATGATTGCAAACGAGCCCCTGAAAGTAAGTAGGCTGCCACCCACGGGACACTAATGATGGCTTAATGATGGCATAATGACGACTACATCCTACTTGCCCTGCATCATGTTGCCATATCATGTTGTCACATCATCTCAAAATGCAAACTTGTTGATTCTTTTGTGTCACAAACTGTCACAATTCAATACCTGTCATTTTCCCTGTTTTCGGCCCTCATGCTATCACATCTTCTCACTGGCAATGGCATCACAATCTCGTTACTAACCCGCCTTTTCCGTCACATCCTGACTGCCCCCCAACGTTTATGCCCTTCTCAGAAAGTACTCTCCGTTTTTGGTTTAACAAGTTCTACAATCAGCTGAAACCTTGAAAAGCTCCAGGAGGAGGCATCACATGAAAGGTGTTCATCACATCGTTTTAGATCTAGGGTTTCGGGTTGAGAGGAGACGGCCTGCGTTGCTTGTGAGAGTAGTTTGTATGGTGACTCGTGAGGGCTCGACTCGCATATGCGTATATCCATCAAGCTTTGTTCACATCGCTGTTGTGTGTAAACCATTGTTATATTTTGATTAATGGGAAGTTATCGTGAGTAACACAAGCTAACATGAAAGTGCAATATTCATGCATTTTGATGATACGGTAAGTTTCATCACCAAAATGTCACTGTCCCAAACCTGTCCCCAAAATGGTTGAGCACACGAGTCTGAGAGCGAATGAGGTTGAGCTGATGGGCTTGGGGAGATGGGCTTGAGTCTGAGAGCGAATGGGGTTGAGCTGACGGGCTTGGGGAGATAGGCTCGAGCACACGAGTCTGAGAGCGAATGAGGTTGAGCTGACGGGCTTGAATAATTGCGGGCTCTAGCACACGAGTCTGAGAGCGAAAGAGGTTGAGCTGACGGGCTTGGGGAGATGGGCTCGAGCACACGAGTCTAAGAGCGAAAGAGGTTGAGCTGACAGGCTTGGGGAAATGGGCTCGAGCACACGAGTCTGAGAGCGAATGAGGTTGAGCCGACGGGCTTGGCGAGATGGGCTCGAGCACACGAGTCTGAGAGCGAATGAGGTTGAGATGACGGGCTCGGGGAGATGGGCTCAAGCACACGAGTCTGAGAGCGAATGGGGTTGAGCTGACGGGCTTGGGGAGATGGGCTTGAGCACACGAGTCTAAGAGCGAAAGAGGTTGAGCTGACGGGCTTGGGGAGATGGGCTCGAGCACATGAGTCTGAGAGCGAATGAGGTTGAGCCGACGGGCTTGGGGAGATGGGCTCGAGCACACGAGTCTGAGAGCGAATGAGGTTGAGATGACCGGCTCGGGGAGATGGGCTCGAGCACACGAGTCTGAGAGTGAATGAGGTTGAGCTGACGGGCTTAGGGGGAAGTGGGCTCTAGCACACGAGTCTGAGAGCGAATGAGGTTGAGCCGACGGGCTTAGGGGGAAGTGGGCTCCAGCACACGAGTCTGAGAGCTAAAGAGGTTGAGCTGACGGGCATGAGGAGATGGGCTCGAGCACATGAGTCTGAGGACAAATGAGGTTGAGCTGACGGGCTTGAATAATTGCGGGCTCGAGCACACGAGTCTGAGGGCTTATGAGGTTGAGTTGACGGGCTTGGGGAGATGGGCTCGAGCACACGAGTCTGAGAGTGAATGAGGTTGAGCTGACGGGCTTGGGGAGATGGGCTCGAGCACACGAGTCTGAGCGCGAATGAGGTTGAGCTGATGGGCTTGGGGAGATGGGCTCGAGCACACGAGTCTGAGAGCGAATGAGGTTGAGATGACGGGTTCGGGGAGATGGGCTCAAGCACACGAGTCTGAGAGCGAATGAGGTTGAGCTGACGGGCTTAGGGGAGATGGGCTCGAGCACACGAGTCTAAGAGCGAAAGAGGTTGAGCTGACGGGCTTTGGGAGATGGGCTCGAGCACACGAGTCTGAGAGCGAATGAGGTTGAGCCGACGGGCTTGGGGAGATGGGCTCGAGCACACGAGTCTGAGAGCGAATGAGGTTGAGATGACGGGCTCGGGGAGATGGGCTCAAGCACACGAGTCTGAGAGTGAATGAGGTTGAGCTGACGGGCTTAGGGGGAAGTAGGCTCTAGCACACGAGTCTGAGAGCGAATGAGGTTGAGCCGACGGGCTTAGGGGGAAGTGGGCTCTAGCATACGAGTCTGAGAGCTAAACAGGTTGAGCTGACGGGCATGAGGAGATGGGCTCGAGCACATGAGTCTGAGGACGAATGAGGTTGAGCTGACGGGCTTGAATAATTGCGGGCTCGAACACACGAGTCTGAGAGCGAATGAGGTTGAGCTGACGGGCTTGGGGAGATGGGCTCGAGCACACGAGTTTGAGAGCGAATGAGGTTGAGTTGACGGGCTTGGGGAGATGGGCTCGAGCACACGAGTCTGAGAGCGAAAGAGGTTGAGCTGACGGGCTTGGGGTGATGGGCTCGAGCACACGAGTCGGAGAGCGAATGAGGTTGAGTTGATGGGCTTGGGGAGATGGGCTTGAGCACACGAGTCTGAGAGCGAATGGGGTTGAGCTGACGGGCTTGGGGAGATTGGCTCAAGCATACGAGTCTGAGAGCGAATGAGGTTGAGCTGACGGGCTTGGGGAGATGGGCTCGAGCAGACGAGTCTGAGAGCGAATGAGGTTGAGCTGACGGGCTTGGGGAGATGGGCTCGAGCACACGAGTCTGAGAGCGAATGAGGTTGAGCTGACGGGCTTGGGGTGATGGGCTTGAGCACACGAATCTGAGAGCGAATGGGGTTGAGCTGACGGGCTTGGGGAGATGGGCTCGAGCACACGAGTCTGAGAGCGAAAGAGGTTGAGCTGACGGGCTTGGGGAGATGGGCTCGAGCACACGAGTCTAAGAGCGAAAGAGGTTGAGCTGACGGGCTTGGGGAAATGGGCTCGAGCACACGAGTCTGAGAGCGAATGAGGTTGAGCCGACGGGCTTGGCGAGATGGGCTCGAGCACACGAGTCTGAGAGCGAATGAGGTTGAGATGACGGGCTCGGGGAGATGGGCTCAAGCACACGAGTCTGAGAGCGAATGGGGTTGAGCTGACGGGCTTGGGGAGATGGGCTCGAGCACACGAGTCTAAGAGCGAAAGAGGTTGAGCTGACGGGCTTGGGGAGATGGGCTCGAGCACATGAGTCTGAGAGCGAATGAGGTTGAGCCGACGGGCTTGGGGAGATGGGCTCGAGCACAGGAGTCTGAGAGCGAATGAGGTTGAGATGACGGGCTCGGGGAGATGGGCTCAAGCACACGAGTCTGAGAGTGAATGAGGTTGAGCTGACGGGCTTAGGGGGAAGTGGGCTCTAGCACACGAGTCTGAGAGCGAATGAGGTTGAGCCGACGGGCTTAGGGGGAAGTGGGCTCTAGCACACGAGTCTGAGAGCTAAAGAGGTTGAGCTGACGGGCATGAGGAGATGGGCTCGAGCACATGAGTCTGAGGACGAATGAGGTTGAGCTGACGGGCTTGAATAATTGCGGGCTCGAGCACACGAGTCTGAGAGCGAATGAGGTTGAGCTGATGGGCTTGGGGAGATGGGCTCGAGCACACGAGTTTGAGAGCGAATGAGGTTGAGTTGACGGGCTTGGGGAGATGGGCTCGAGCACATGAGTCGGAGAGCGAATGAGGTTGAGTTGATGGGCTTGGGGAGATGGGCTTGAGCACACGAGTCTGAGAGCGAATGGGGTTGAGCTGACGGGCTTGGGGAGATTGGCTCGAGCACACAAGTCTGAGAGCGAATAAGGTTGAGCTGACGGGCTTGGGGAGATGGGCTCGAGCACACGATTCTGAGAGCGAATGAGGTTGAGCTGACGGGCTTGGGGAGATGGGCTCGAGCACACGAGTCTGAGAGCGAATGAGGTTGAGCTGACGGGCTTGGGGAGATGGGCTTGAGCACACGAGTCTGAGAGCGAATGGGGTTGAGCTGACGGGCTTGGGGAGATGGGCTCGAGCACACGAGTCTGAGAGCGAAAGAGGTTGAGCTGACGGGCTTGGGGAGATGGGCTCGAGCACACGAGTCTGAGAGCAAATAAGAGTGAGCTGACGGGCTTGGGGAGATGGGCTCGTGCACACGAGTCTGAGAGCGAATGAGGTTGAGTTGACAGGCTTGGGGAGATGGGCTTGAGCACACGAGTCTAAGAGCGAAAGAGGTTGAGCTGACGAGCTTGGGGTGATGGGCTCGAGCACACGAGTCGGAGAGCGAATGAGGTTGAGTTGATGGGCTTGGGGAGATGGGCTCGAGCACACGAGTCTGAGAGCGAATGAGGTTGAGCTGACGGGCTTAGGGGAGATGGGCTCGAGCACACGAGTCTGAGAGCAAATGAGGGTGAGCTGACGGGCTTGGGGAGATGGGCTCGAGCACACGAGTCTGAGAGCGAATGAGGTTGAGTTGACGGGCTTGGGGAGATGGGCTCGAGCACACGAGTCTGAGAGCGAAAGAGGTTGAGCTGACGGGCTTGGGGTGATGGGCTCGAGCACACGAGTCGGAGAGCGAATGAGGTTGAGTTGATGGGCTTGGGGAGATGGGCTCGAGCACACGAGTCTGAGAGCGAATGGGGTTGAGCTGACGGGCTTGGGGAGATTGGCTCGAGCACACGAGTCTGAGAGCGAATGAGGTTGAGCTGACGGGCTTGGGGAGATGGGCTCGAGCACACGAGTCTGAGAGCGAATGAGGTTGAGCTGACGGGCTTGGGGAGATGGGCTCGAGCACACGAGTCTGAGAGCGAATGAGGTTGAGCTGACGGGCTTGGGGAGATGGGCTCGAGCACACGAGTCTGAGAGCGAATGAGGTTGAGCTGACGGGCTTGGGGAGATGGGCTCGAGCACACGAGTCTGAGAGCGAATGAGGTTGAGCTGACGGGCTTGGGGAGATGGGCTTGAGCACACGAGTCTGAGAGCGAATGGGGTTGAGCTGACGGGCTTGGGGAGATGGGCTTGAGGAGAAAACCAAACGTCCTAGCTAGCCATGTACTCTAAGGGGTACATTCCTTTATTACAGCAATTTCAAACTGTGCGGCACGGGAACACGTTTCATATCTGTTCCCGCCATTTTCACTTCGAATGTTTTTGCCTGCATCGATCTCGATCTGACGGTTGCTGGTGTCGCTTCGACTCTTCTGACTCCTCGACTTCGTACTCGAAAGGGACGGCTCCTGCAGCGTACATGAATTCCTTCTCATAGAGTTTCATATCTCAACACCCCCTTCTTTTCTGCGCGTGTCAAAGGCTGACTCGCTTGACTACTCCGGTCAGGTTGGAGAACTGCTGGTACTTTTTTTTTTTTTTTTTTTTTTTGAACGAGTTTGCACTATACCAATGCAAATACATTCATAGTCGTAACTGAATTCCAGAGGAAAGCATGCAAACTGTAGTCTAAGGACTCTCAGCGCAGCCCCTCTGCATCCGCCTACGGTGGCCGATGAAACGTCTTGGGGTTCTGCCATATGGATAGAAAGCTCGTCCTCCACGTGGCCTGCTCCCCTGCCTCACAGATCCTCGCGATCGCCGCACGTTCATCTCCTTCCATCCCCCCCCATGGGTCCCGTGATTGTCCTTTTCTCCCCCCTCCACCCGCCTTCCTCAGCTTTTCCGCTCTGTAGAGCCTCGCGTGACGCATGAAGTCATATATTGCCGTCCGTGCCACAATTTTCCTCTGAAATTTCTCCTTCCGGTACACCGCATACTTTGGCCAACCAAATCCTGCGCATTGTCACTGCTGTCAACGTCGCCCCTGGAAACCCGGATTTCGTGGCCCCCTCCTGAAACAGCATGTCTCCTAGTGACCTCGTTTGGTCCGCTGGGCTTATGATCCCCAATGACCTCAGCAGCGCACCAATCACCGGTTGGATGACTGGGCAGGTGAGCATGCAGTGAGCTAGGGTTTCTGGCTCTCCACAGTGTGGGCAGCGCCCCTTGTCACCTAGAAACACCAGCCTCCCCCCCAACCTGCAGGTTCTTGCTGTGCATCCTCAGCAACACATCTCTTGCTCTGTACGGGATCACCAGCGAGTCCCTTCTATCTCTGACCGCCTTCCAGTCTATTTTGTTCCCCCACTCCTCTTCCCATTCGTGTCTCCGTCTGGACGTCGTCACAGGCCCTGCCAGCGCCCTCCTAATCGCTTTCGGCGCAGCCGGCCTCATATCTTCTCCTACCAGCGATGTCAGGCACAGCTTCGCTCTCGGCTCGCCCATCGCACCAAGCACTCTCCCCCCTTTTACTGTCACCGGGGTTATACTCTTAACCGGGAATGAAACCGCGTAAGGTCTTTGCGGCACAACCAGACTTGCGCCGTCCGGACACTCCAGGTGGTCGGTGGATACCTCCTCACCCTTGACCCCCTTTACCGTCCAGTACAGAAACTTCTGCGCCTGTTCCAGAAATGTTCGCACCACCTTTGCTGCAGCCACCACTGCTCCTGCTGATCTCTGCACCGTCAACATCGCCTTCCACTCGTCAGGGATCGCCTCATATGCTTTTCTCGCCCATCTCCCCGATGCCACGCTTCCGAAATCTGCTGCTAGTTCTTTGACGCTTTTAACTTCCTTGCTGCCATCTCCCCTAGTGGTAAGCAGGTCTCCCAGTCTGGTTGTCCGGATTCCTGCTGCCCCCTGGCGGTTCCCGAACGGGCTCCCTCCCTTGAACATAATTTTCCGGTTGAAGCATAGCATCTCGCGCTCGACTTCCCACCCATTCGATGGCGCTGGAAGGTCTGCAAACGGGGACTCCCAGAAGACTTCTGCTATCGCCTTCCACCTCTTGCTACCTTTTCCCCAATGTCTTCCAGCGGACTTGTGGGCGAAAAAGGTCGCCACACCCTGTGGAAGCGCCGCCGCCTTCTCCGACAACCACCGTTTGGTCACGTCTTGCTCCGTGAGAAATTTCCCCACCTGCCGTATAGCCAGGCTGTCAATCCGTTCCTTCGGGTCGACTAACCCCAGTCCACCTTCCTTTTTTGGCAGGCGAGCCAACTCTCCGCTCCACAATACGAATATCTTCTCCGCCATTGCTTCCCCTTTTGATACGTAGTTGTCACATGTCTTTCGCATCTTCTCCCATAGCTCCTCCGGCGGCGGGTGAATCTGCGCTTGAAACAGGAGAATCGGCATAATGTAATTGTTGATAATCGTCACCCTTGCAGCTGTCAGCAGATGATGGCTCTCCCACTTTGCTAACTCCTTCTTCCCCTTTTCCCAAGCCTTCTCCCAGGATGGGCCTGCTTCTCCGTCCGGCGACACCCAGACCCCCAGTAACCGTTCTGGGACTCCTGTCTCCGCCCACTTGAACGTCACCCCCGGTAACGTCGTTCTGCCTTTGTTCCTTCCAAGCGGCATGATAATCGACTTGTCTCTGTTGATGTGTAACCCCGACAGCTCCCCGAACCAGTCGAGGGCCCCCGCCGCAGCCTGCAGCTGAGCTTCACCATTCAGGATTAAGGAGGTGTCATCCGCGTACCCTACGTAAGACACAGCCTCCCCGCCTTCCGCCTTGATCCCCAGACCTCTTTTCCTGATTTCCGCGCAGAGCGGCTCCAGAGCGCACAGGAAAACATAAGGCGCTAACGGACATCCTTGCCTCACCCCCCTCTGCATCTCCACTCGTTCGCCTAACCAGCCGTTGATTGCCAATCTGGTCCACGAACCCTTGTGCAGGCCCGCCGTCCATTTGACAAACTGTCCCGGCAGCCCGAGTTTCTCCAGCATCTTCAAAAGGAAAGGCCGCGATACAGTATCATACGCCTTCTGAAAATCAACCAGCAGGAGGTACCAGTCCTCCCCGTCGTTATCCGCCGCTTCAATCGCATCTGCTACCAACGCCACCGCGTCCGCCAAACTTCGACCCGGTATGAACCCGTGTTGCTCCCTCGAGAATATATGATGCAGCTCTTGCTTCAGCCTGTTCGCCAGCACTTTCGCAAGTACCTTGTAGACCGTCGTAAGCAGCGTTATCGGCCTGTAGTTGGTCAGCAAGTCTTTCTCCCCCTTCTTGTGTAGCAGGACTGTTACTGCTGTAGTCAGCGATTCTGGTAACGTCCCCGTTGCCTCGAAATCTCTGACAAACCTCATGAAGGCCCCCCCCAACAGATCCCAGTGCTCTATGAAAAGCTCCGCCGGGAGTCCATCCTGCCCTGGTGACTTCCCTTTTGGCAGCCCTTCCAACGCCTCCTTCACCTCCTTCTCTGTCCACGTGGCCCCTAGCTTGACTACCGCTTCCGCCGGCAAACTCTATCCACACTGAAATCGTTTTGCTCCTGCCCCTGCCCAGGCTGCCCCTCACTGAAGGCTTCCGCGAAGTGAGCCGAGGCTGCCTTGAGCACCGCTTGCGATCCTCTGCACCTCTCCCCTTTGAAGCGCACTTCCTCAATCACCGTGCGTTCCTTCCTCAACTTGACCTTGGCAGACAGGAAGGGTGACGGGATCTCTCCCTGCAGTTCCTCCTTGAGCCCCGCAAAAACCTCCAGCCTCTCCCGTTCGTTCTCTCGATAGGCTTCCAACTGCTCCTCCCTGGTGAGTAACAGCGCCTTCGTTGCGTCATCCGTCGGTCCGCCCATGACCAAATGTCGCATCCGTTCAACTTCCTCCGTCAGATGCAGCTGCGTCGCTGTCACCCTCTTCCTCTCTTCCTTCTCATGCGTACGCAGTCCCGTCGACAGCCTCGAGATTATCCTCTCCAGCGACCCTTGGCCTGACCGGTTGAGCGCCTCCGCGACCGCCTTAACAATTTTCCTCACCCCCTCTTTTTTCTTCCGCGTTGCGTGAAACCTCCAGAGTCCCGGCCCGGATGCGTGCTCCGATACAAATTTAAGCCGGATCTTGATGGCGAAACTGTGGTCCGACAGCTTCCTCGGCACCTCCACATGACGAGCTCCTACCAGGTTGCCTAACAGCGACGCTGAGACCAAAGCCCTGTCGATGCGAGATCTCGACCCCGTAGCTCTCACCCTGAAGGTGTACTCCTTTTCCGCGGGGAACAGCGCGCGGAACGCGTCACGAAGATCGTGAGGCTGCCAGGCATCCAAGAAACGCTGGTTCTCCCTCCCCGACCCTGTTTCCGGTGACCGATCTAACTCTGGATCAGCAATTATGTTGAGATCTCCCACGACCACCAGGTGCTTCAAGGCCGGTTGTGCCTGCACGAAAGGCTCTAAGTGCTCCCTGTGAAACCTTGCTCTATTGCAGGCTTGCGCCGGAAGGTACGCCGCGACTAACCGAAAAGGTTCTTCTCCTCCCTCCACTGTCACCCCCAGCAGCCTCCCTGACACATCCGCCATGACGTCCGAGAACCGGATATGTCTGCCAAACGTCATGACGGCCACTCCGCCTGCAGTCTGACTCGGCCCCACCGCGGCCCACGCCTTTGGTTTAATCTCACTCCAGAAATTGTGGTCCTCCTTGATTCGTGTGTCTGAGAGCACCATGATGCCTGCTGATGTGCGCAGCCATCTCCTATTCTTGGTTCGTTTGCCGCTACCGCCAAGGCCGTTTACATTGACCCCGCAGATGGTGAGGTTTGGTGCTTTACCCATTAATCCACTTGAAAGGAGGCCCTTCGCATCCACGGCCTTTATTAAGAATGATACAGCAAAGCCTGAATTCCTCTGATGCTACTTCTGCTTGTTCCTGCCGTGCAGGTGCCGAGACTGAAACTGCCATCCCCCCTGTTCGGAGCGTCCCCACCAGCGTCAGCACCGCCACCAGCCTGCCCGTCAAATCTTGAAATCCTTCTTGACTTGGCCCAGGGCCTGCTTTCCCATGCTCAGACGGGTTGCTGCGCCAGCCTTGAGCAAACCAGTGCCATGACGAACTGACTGCACGTGCTCGACTGCCTTCTTGAAACTGGAACCATGGGTCTTCCCACACTCCTCCTGCGCGCACAGCCACTCCTCTCGAACACCTCCTGTGGAGACGAAAGCGATCGCCGGGTCCGCAAGCAGAGTCTTCATCGTCGGAGTGAGCTTCATGGAAGCAGGTGCTTGGAGGGGAGATGGTACAAAAGTGAGTCGTGGGATCAGAACTGCTGGTACTGCTGATATGGCAGTTGTTTGGTGATAAGTCAGCTGCCATCTCGGTCGTGGGGCAGTATGTGAGGTCAACCTTGCCCTGATCAATTTCGTCCTTGACGAAAAAAGTACCGAAGCGCAATGTGCTTCGTGCGGTTGACGAACCCTGGCTTGTTCGCGATCTTGATGGCACTCTAATTGTCTCAGTGGAGGCGAAAGGTGGGCGAAGTTGGAATTTTCGCCTCATGCAGCAACTCTTGCAGATAGAGCCCTTCGCGAACTGCAGCAGTCGCGGCAACGTACTCTGCTTCGGCTAATGACAGGGCAACCAGCTTTCGCTTCTGCGAGTTACACGAGATTGGACCCGTTGGTTCCAAGAGGAAGACAAAGCCAATTTGTGACCATCGATTGGCAGGGTTAGCGGCGTGATCTGCGTCCACGTAGCTGGTGAGGTTGAAGGACGTTGTTGTCATCATGGAGTAGGAGAGTGCGATGTCAGGCATGGAGACGAAGTACTGTAGGGCGCGCTCCAGGTCCAGCTGGTTCTCTGCTACCGGTTTGCGTGAGTATTCTGCCAGTTGGCTGGCAATGTACGAAAGGTCGGGTGTGCGGCTGCTCCACGAAGATGGTCGCATCGACTGACGCGTATAAAATTGTGTTCTTCACGTATCTGCTGTAGTGGTAGGTGCTTAGCTGGAGCGATGGCAAGTAGAATTTGCACAGTTGTATGGCAGCTTACAGGAGCGAAGATCTGGTCGAAGTCGATGCCGTGGTGCTGGTCGTACCCCCGTATGAACCACCTTGCTTAGAAGCGCTCGATAGTTCCGTCAGCCGTAGTTTTATGACGGAACACCCACTTTCCAGATTGCACCCTCCTCCCCTTCACTGCTGCACGATCGACGAGAACACAGGTATTGCGTGATTCCAGCGCCTGTAGTTCTGCATCCATGGCTGCATGCCACTCCTTGGCGTGTGGACCGGTTAGGGCCTGTCGCGGATTCTCTGATTCGACGGCGCGTGGGGTAGTAGAGGTGGCGGTGTGTAGGCCGAGCAACTGTAAAGCTGTCACGTTTGCAACACCATGTAAGTCAGCGATCACGGTCGCTGAGGGCATGGGGCTGACGGGCAACCTCAAGCACATGGAGTGACGCTACGCCTGGCTGCAGCACATGGTGAGGCGCGGGAAGTTCGTGCTGAAGTACATCCCGACCACCGAGCAGCCGGCAGACTTCATGACGAAGGCGCTGCACTTTCCGGCCTTCAACCGGTGCTCCGTCGCGATCGGCCAAGTGCGCCTGGCCAACGTCGGCGACGAAAACGACGATGTGCAGCAGTAGGTGACGTGCCCTCCTGCACGGCTTGTGCGGTGACGGCGTGCCGTGTGTGGGGTGCACGCCGAGGACGAGTTTTCTCCGTGGAGTACTGCCGTGTGGGCTGGAGGCCCAAGCGTGAGCGCGGCAGGGGAGTGTTAACGGGAGTGTTGGCCCCGCCCTCGCTTGGGCAACGCCGACGACTTGGTCGGATGTACGGGAGTTGCAGCCGACCGTTCACAGTGGGAGAGCTGCTCGACATGCTTCGTCGAGCTGCAGGAGACCGCTGTGGTGTTGCTGTCGACCATGGAGTTCGACATGTCAGAGGTCCACTGGTGATCCCCGATTGATCCTAGGGAAGGGTTACAGGCACGTTGGCCTGGGGGGTTATGGGCGCACTCACCCGCTACACAAACAAGCCCTTTTATCCCAGTGGTTAGTGGCTGGGATTCTGACATGGTATCAGAGCGAAGGTCTCGGGTTCGAATCCCGGTGTGTGCACCTCGGGCATCCCAGTGCGGGGGGGTGTCAGAGGTCCACTGGTGATCCCCGATTGATCCTAGGGAAGGGTTACAAGCACGTTGGCCTGGGGGGTTATGGGCGCACTCACCCGCTACACAAACAAGCCATTTTATCCCAGTGGTTAGTGGCTGGGATTCTGACACGACAGCTGCAACGGAATGGTCTGGGCGACGGGTGGGCCATCGACCAGGAGGGTAGTTTGACCGGGAGGTCGACGGAGCAATCCGTCAACCTACAGCTCGACCAAGAGGTCGACGGAGCTGCCGGTCGACCTACAGTTCGACCGGGGAGGTCGACGGAGCAGCCGTCGACCTGACAAGTGAGCAGCGGTCGACGAGGGGAGCTCGGCGACATCATCAGTTGACAGTTCTGGTCGACGGAAGGGGTCCGTCGACCAGGGGGTAGCTCGACGGGAGCTGTGGTCGACCAGGGGCACCTGGTGGTCGGAGCTGTGGTCGACCAGAGGCACCTGGTGGTCGACCGGAGGCACTGGTGGTCGACCGGAGCACCTGGTGGTGTCCGGGTCGACCGGGTAACCTGCTCGACGAGTTCTGCGGAGGCACGCGAACGTCGTCGAGGTCGCAATGGCGAAGGCGACTTCGGGCTGGTATCCCGAAGTTGATGTGGCTCGTCAGGCGCAGACAACAACCGACGGATGCACAGCAATGCAAGTCGGGCCAATCGTCTGCGCGCACCTGCGAGCGTGAGCGCTGCTGTCTTCTACGGGGCAACGCTGGACAGCCGCCCTGCTGCAGCGTTCGAACGCCATCGACCTGCTTTGCTGGCAGGTCGCCCTTCTGCAGTGCTGGCGCGGCTCCTCTACGCAACAGTGGCACGCGGTCGACCATGCAGTGCTGGCGGTCGACCAGGCTAGCTGCAGAGTTGCTAGGTGCCTGATGTAGTCATTCTGTCATTGCTTGTTCAATCATTCTGTAATTCCAACTTTGCTAGTGGAAACTCTTGCCGATTTCTCCCGTGAATGTGCAAGCACTAAGGAACTAAGCAAAGCTACGATCACTCCTAGTAGTTCGTGCCAACCCCCGTAGTCTAGCTCACTACCGTTGTAGAGTGACTCTCCACATGCGGAAACATCGAAAACACGGGTTTGGGTGCAGGTTGGGCAAAGGGAAACCGAAGGCGACGTGAGGTTGCTTCGGTATCAAGCAAACCGGCCGAATGTGCACCTTCGAACGTTGGGGTTGTACGCGAAACAGAACAATAGAAGAAGAAGAAGAAGAAGAAGAAGAAGAAGAAGAAGAAGAAGAAGAAGAAGAAGAAGAA